CATTCTGTTAAGCTCTTGAGCTTGTTGTCTGTCTTTTGCTCCAAAATGGCATACATGGCGTCATGGAGAAACCAAAACTGGTGAAAATGTCATTAATATCGCTTGTTAAAAGCAAATGCTTTTTAAAAGGTAGCCACAATATTGCTGGACATGTAATCCAGAGACCCAGGCTAATGTTCAGATCCATCTATAAAACATAGAAAGTTATTCCAATGGTGAACCCATAACCATTGACGTCAGAGCCAGCTGGTTCACTAACGTTCATCAGGGAAGGAAATCTGTCAGTATTTGATTTGGCATACATGTGACTCCATACCCACGGTAATGTGGTTAATTCTTTATCTGCCTTTTGAATGGCCTAGAGGGTCAAATAGTTCAACAGCATCAAGGATGAGCAACAATTGCCAGCCTTGCCAGTGGTATCCATGTTCCCAAGGAATTGTGGGGCAAAAAGATGCTGTCGTCTCCTGATTAAATGGCCCCCTTCTGATCAAGATTAATACAATTGAATGTCATCACAAAAAAGGAAAAAGATATTTACTGTTCATGTAGGTGAGAGGTATTTGAGACGCTCCATGCACAGTTCTATGTGCACAGAAGTATGAAGACAGCTGTCAATTCAAATACCCTGTGATATTCACACAGCCTGTCATTTATTAGAATAAAATTTACTTTACCTTTGAACTGTGGTGTTCTGTATCGTCTGGAGATGAATTCATTTGACATATTGTCTTTTACATTGATTTCAGAATTTTGATGCAGTGTCATGAATTCAAGGTTAAACGTAGTGGGGAATGGGTCATATTAATGATTAGCACATCAGGGTAGTTTATCCATATGCACAGTAAATTGAAAACTTCTAGTCTTTTGTTAGGTCCACAGGGAAGAGCTTGTTGTTCTGATTTAGAATTTTATCCATTAACAAGGTGATGCCCTTTTCCAAACCTTATCCGAATGTCAAACAGGCCAAGCCAGCAAACAAAGTAAATGAGTCTTGTTTGGGTTTGATTGCCTAGATTGTTGAGACTAGAAAGTAGAAGACTATAATTTGAATAGTGTTTTAAATGATGGACCAAGGCAGCTGCTTGCATCCTAGCTCTGTCTGACTCCAGTCTACTTGCATGGAAATTTGAATAGTATAGACATCACCTCATATATAGGATTTGGCTGTTATATAATTAATCAGAAGTAGGGTAGTCAGCCTCTTGATCCTGTTCTGCCATTTGATAATATTATGACTGATCTGTATCTTAACTCTTTTTTTTCTTCCTGGATAACCAGAATCTATCAGTCTTTGTTTATTTTGAAGTAGCCTAAATGGCACTTAAGAGCTTCACATGGCCCTGTCTGAAGCGCTTCGTGACATCATCCCCAAATGTGCTAGCCTTAGGTTTCAGGTTGTTTCCCCTCCTTGATCTGGTCTTTCCTCCTATGACCAAAGAAGGTGGTATTGAGAACCTCAATTGGATCACCCTTCCACATGCAGAGAGTGGTTAGAATGTGTAACTTAATACCATAAGAGGTAGTTGGCACAGGTCAGAGTTTCCCAACTTGTGGGTCAGACCGGTGAGGTCACAGGATAAGGTTTTGGGGCCGTGAACTCTGAGAGAGCAATAGCTGCTGTGAACCTCAGACTGATTTCTGTCTGCTGCGAGGCCTCTTTAAGTCCTTCCTGTTTTTGGTGGCCGTGGTCTCGGGCACTACAGCAGCGAGGCACTGCATAAAGAGCTTGTGAGTGGGTAAGTGTCTATTTCTGTTTAAGGAACCCAGCCTCTTCACCAACTACCACACAAGGGAGATGGCAGAGTGTAGCATGAGGAGATTGTGGGCTCCCTACAGTGTGGAAGCATACTGTTCAGCCCATCAAGTCCACATCGACCCTCTGAAGAGCATCCCCACCCCTTCAGAAAGCTGTTGTCATTTGGTGAATTAAAACTTTCAAATCTGATCTTGATTGTGTCTGTTTTAAATAGGGCAACTAAGGGATCTGGAAGTAATGTGTATTAAGCAAGTTCAAAAAAAAAATCAGCCAAGATCTAATTGAATCAAGTTCAATGGGCTGAATGGTTTTGTTCTATTCTTGTGCTATCAGTTATTTATTGCTGTGTATAGATCATTAAATGGTATGCTTTTGAGATGGTCATATCAATTATAATATTTAAGGCACATGCTATATTTCTTTGTAGTTCTAGCAATAAATTTGTCTGACCTTTATTAGCTGAAACAAATAGGATGCTCTGCAGAGCGGGGAATAATTTCCCTTGCAGCATTTTACTTCAGTGACTTTTCTCCTTCTGCGCCTATTTGGTGGTTTTGCTTGTTTCAGACACAGCATTGAAATGCAGTAAGCACACCCTCCTACACCTGGATCAGTGGGTCTTCGTCTAGTCAGCAGGTGACATGATAACTACCTGCTCTGGGTGAACCACAAGCATATAAGTACAGAGATGGTACAGTCAGTGAAACATGCTTGCTTTATGCAGGCAGTTTACATGTTCTTTATTTAATTGTATGTTCACTATTTCCCACAAACAGAACTGGAGATGTTTAACCAATTAACCGATGTGGCACAGTTCCCATTTAGGCTAATTATTTTGTCCTAATTTGAGCATTGCAGGGATCCAAAATGTGGATGTAGTGCATGTCTCCGGTTGTATCAATAGACAAACTGCCTCATCAACAGCAACATTTCCAGAAGCGGAATTATCTTCGAGTTTTGTGAAATCCCTAATGTTAATTTTGATACTTTGATGCAAGATAAAACTGTATTTTATCAAGTCTTGCATGTCACACCTGCATTTAAGTCATTAATCTGACTGCCTTTATCTTACACTTGCATATTCTTGCAGAGTAACTCCTCCAGACTTCGTTTCTGTAAACCCTTTATTCTTCCCTGCCACCCAGACACTTGCAGCCAATTGGCTAACTAGGTGACATGATATTTACCCAATCTGCACTCCCTATTTCTATAAGAATCTAATATACTTCTGCTCTATCAACTGCTCTGCCGCCTTGATGTCTAAGATTTCCCCTCCTCTACCAGTGATCTTCCTGACAGTGGCTGGTTGACTGCTCCCTTGACCCATTGTCAGCTTCAGCTTCCAAATTTGCTGAAATATTTGCTGCTCTTTCTGGGCAAGAGGGAAGCGCAGGTTGGGGGGTGGATGAAGTACTGGTAATGTCACTCTTGCACTCTTCTTGGGTCTATGTGAACGTAGAATAAGGGAATGTTGGTGAAGATCCAAAAGCACTTTCACTACGTTTGTGGCACATTATTTGTTTTTCCCAATCATGTTTAATTGTGCAAAGTCCTTTTTCAGTCAGCTCATTGTGTTGCACACTAGGTTTAATATACCAAACCCTTCTCCCTGTTGAACAGTGATGTAACTCTGAGACTCTGACAAACCTAAAAAGGAATGGCCTGTTTCTACACTGTCGGGATTCATTTTAAACAGGAGTATTTCAGACCAATAACTAATAGGGACTCTATGCCAATTCAGTATGGTGAGAGACTTTGTACATGTGACTTAATTGACCTGTTTAATATCACTTTGTGGTTGGATATGTCTTGTGTTTAGTATTGCATCTTATTTAGCTAATCAATCCTATTGGAAAATGTGATTTTCATTGTTTCGTTTTGAAAACTGCTGCAATTTGAGAATTTTTTCTTTAAAATAACCTCAGCATATAATTAATAACCTAGCAATGAAGAGATCAAATCATTAAACTACGTCTCAATTTCTTTAAAACAGTTATCTGCAGGATTTCAGTGAAGCAGGATATGATTTGTATATTTTCATGTTAAGTGTGAAAACAGTTTGCAGTTTAATTTTTCTGTGGTTTTTCAATGCTGTTTGGAAGGAGGACAGTTGGTGTCTGTGTGTTTGTCTGTGTCTGGTGGTCATAGTGAAGAATGGTTGCCTTCTCTGAGGCCCCGGTAATTCTGTGGCATTTTTGCAGGCAGTGACTGGAAGGTAAGTTTGCTGTGTGACTCAGAATCTTGGAGGCTATGCCATTGCCTTGTAAAAGCACATATCAGTGCTAATTACCAACTGAAAACCTCAAATGCTAAGTGCTCTGATTTTTGGCTAGATATGGTGCACATTGACATCTCATGCATAGACTTGCCATTGGAGTTCATTGGTTGCTCAGTGTATTAAAGGCGCATAAAATCAAAATACTGTAGCTGTTGGAAATCTGAAATAAAAGAAAGTGCTGGAGGAATTCAGCAGGTCTTGCAATATCTGCGAAGAGAGTTGATGTTTGAATCCAACATGACTCTTCAAAGGTCTTCTACTTGCTGAATTTCTCCAGTACTTTCTGTGCTAAAAAGGGATAGGATAGTTTTTATTTGATTTTGTTTTGTTTGTATGTGATATTGTGTATCTACATTTTGCTCCGTATTAGTTGGGTTTGCTTTATTGCCCACTGTTTTTTCCAGTGTTTTTTATATTCTCTGCCTGTTCTCTGCTAACCTTACTAAGGAACTTCCAAAGAAATATCTGTGGAATATGTTTGTTAGAAACTGGAACTGCTCAACATATTTCATTCCATTACAACCAGCAGTCTTTCAACTCGTCAGACTGCACTAGATTTGACCACAGGCCATGGGGAAAGCTTTTGAGTTGTGCACTGGGAATACATGGATACCTCATTTTTTGAGCGAGACTGTGAGCTGAGCAGAGAATCAGCAAATGTAGAGTTGACCAAATGGTTTATTTTTGAGATGAAAACTTGTATGATGTGAATTTAGTGTATGTGGAAGAAACATATTGGTGCAAGGTAAGTATTCGGGTGTAGCTGCCTCTTCCTGTAGTATGTTGGATAGGAGTGCAGTGGATAACCATAATGGTTGCTCAAAGGCTGATTAGGTGAAAGGATTTTACTACTCACTGAGCTTATTTTCATGTATAACAATGTGAAATTTATGGACCAAATCTTGCTGAAAACTACGTAAACCTTACACTTGTCTGAATAATCGGTATATCTGGTGTTTGCAGGGTACCAACAATACAGGAAACCAGTTTCATTGAAAAGATGAAGAAAACAGTAAGTGCATCTTTTGCTGTTATATTCTGTGGACATAACCACTTGGTGATGTGAGAGAGCCAATTCCCTCTCTAAACTTTCTTTTCCGCCTCCCCCCCCCGCCACCACTCAATCCCCACCAATTGTCTTTCACTGGTTTCAATTTTGCCCAGCAGCTGGGTGTTAATTATGTTACGTTCTGGATGTACATTGTTTCTGTTCAAATGTAACTCCATAAGAATCCCTACCAAGTTGAAAATCCCAATGTCAGCAATCTCTCTCCATAACTCCTGGGATACTATGGATCGGTCCTTGTCCTTCTCTGAAGCCCCTTTTGGGTTTAGAATTGTTGAATCTCAGAAACCTGTGGCACTGGAGACCAATCAGTCCACCAGACTACTGCTGGATTTTTGAAAGAGCTATCAAGACCCCTCCTCTTTCTGTAACCCCATAAGTTTCTTACCTTTGTGTACCTGTCTCATCCCCTTTCTCAGTTTTTAAAAAAAAAACAAAATTTATACAAAATTAACAAAATATCCACTTCTATCACCTCTTCAGGTAGAAATTCCAGCTCTTGACAACTGATTGTATCAAGAACCTCTAATCTTTCCTCCAGGTCTTTCTGCCAAGGATTTTACATGTATGGCCTTTTTTTTTTTTTCAAACTGAGCCATTTTCAAGAGAAAATAATTTTTCTCTAACTATTCTATTGAAACCTCCCTCCAACTTGAAAATCTCTCTTGTGCAATATACCTATCCTCTGTGTCAAGAAAAACACCTTAGGCCTTGCCAACTTCTACCCAGAACTGAAGTCCCTCATCCCTGGAAGTGGACTGCTAAACCACTTCTGCTTCTTTTTTTTTAGGGTTTTTACATCTTTCCTGAAGTGTGCTGTCCACGCATATCCCACACCAGTTCTGACCCAACCAAGTATTCAGAAGAGTTCTGGCATAATTATTTTCTTCTTTATGCTCAACTTATAAACTAAGTGCAGTATACATGTAAAAGTCAAGTTTCTAAGATTAAGCTTTTAGTCAAAAGGTTTTGAGGAGGAGAGGTCGACATGTACAGGAGAAACATTTGGGAGAGGTTAAAATACACTCTAAATCACCTGACTATCACAGATTTGTCAGGTCAGAGACTATTCATCTGTCACACAGCCCTTTTGTTTCCTGTTTCTGAGCCAATCTGTGATCCAGACCATTACTTTCCAAAGTATTCCCTTCATTATTCATTTTTCTTTACTACTTTCAGTTTTCTCTCTCCACCTTGAGCCAATATCTTGCTGAGGTGGGGTTTCATATGCATCTTCCAATACCTTAAGCAAATGACTAACTATTCCCTCACATGAATATCTTGATGGGTAATATAAGTAAACTGTTCAATTATCGGTTGAGCCCAGCCCTGTTCTCATCCAAGATCTGCACATGTAAATGTTAATACTTTTTCTACTACTTCCTATGGTATCCTACCTCCAAGTTAAAGATAGTGGTACAATACTTTAAGATCCTGATGACATAACAGTCACACCCTATGTGTCCATGTTATGCTAATTACTTAGAATGTATGCAGCAATTTGAGACATCCTGAAATAATGTTTTTGTGCCTTTTGTTATATATTCTTCCCTGCAGGGAAAAAACATAGTTGTGTTTTACGGCTCTCAAACAGGAACAGCGGAAGAGTTTGCAAACAGACTGTCAAAGGATGCTCAGCGGTATGGGATGCGAGGAATGGCTACTGATCCAGAGGAATATGATATGGTTGGTAATATAGTTTCATGACGATAAAGAATTTGAGGATAACTGAACCCAAAGCTGCTGATAGATTTATATGTATAACACACGAATGGCGTTTTTCTGATGTATTACTTGAGATTAAGAATTGTCTCTGTTTCAGCAGTGACTCTAGTTGTCTCATTTTCTGTCTGTTCCCTTTTAATCTACCTTAGTCTTTGCCTTCAAATCTTTTTGGCATGTTTCACTGGAGCTCGTCCTCCCTGTCATTAAAGAGACTTGTACTGGAGATGTACAGAACTGACCATTCAAAAAAAAAATTAATTATTCAGCAGTTTTGACAATGTTCTTGAATAGTATCATTTATTAAAGTGAATAAACTAGCAATAAAGCACAAACGATTTGCTTCATCAATTATTATTAAAGAAGGAAATATTTCCTGTACAAAAAAACAAATGGTCACAGAATTGTCTCACCTGCATGCTTTAAAAAAGTGTTTTGTTGAAATGTGATAATCGGTCACATGCCCCAAGGCGACTTGTCTACCTAGTCCCAAAAATAGGAGATTACTGTATTCAGCTTTGTGACCTCTCTTGAAATCAAAGCTTAGTGAATTTCAGAAACTGGGTTCACATTACTGCTAATGTGATGATGTTAATTGCAGTGAAAACAAATTCCTAGTGTGTCCACACTAATAAATGACTATGTCTGACCCGTACTTGAAAACAGGGAATGATGACTGTTCACTTTTAATTTTGCTTAGCAGTATTTGGAATTGTCCCAGAGTGCTGGTAATTTCCCTATAGTATGAAGGGACAGATGCTGACTTCGTAACTGGGAATCAGCTATATTAAGTATGGCTGACAGGAAAGCAGTAGTGTCGGTTTGGGTGAAGGCAATGGTAGGCACCCATCCCATCCTATATCCGGCAGGGAAAAACAGCCCAATTACAGACGGCAGTAGAACATTACTACAACAAAACTTTGAACGAATGAAGCACCTTTTAACTGCTAATAAAAAGTATCTGAAACACTTCTTTAAAAATGAAAATAACTATCTTAAAGGAAAAGTTCTGAGTGATGTGCAAAAATTTGATCAGTGGAGGATTGACAGAGAGAGTCTTAAGTGAAAAGAGAATAAAAGAGAGCTAGATTTTCACTGCTGAGGGGTGGGTATCTTGAATCAGGAAATTTTCTGACCCAGCAGACCTGCTTCAGTTTAATAAGTCCCACCACACTCAGTTTTTGCCCCAGGGAGATATTAGGATCGAAGTTAATCCTAGAAGCATCAGTGGCCACAGGAGAGCACTGAGTCTGGGCTGGTGGAAATATCATCCAGTTTGCTGTTTTGAAAACTTAGGGGCTTCGTAGCCCTCATCCTTCACACACCTCGACAAGCCATGCACTTTTACTGCCCCCCACCATGTCAACCCATGTTTCCCACCCGCACCACTGCCTCCTCATAACCTTCTGCCACCACTATCACCATCTCCCCAGTATCCACAGTGTGCAAAGGTCAGGAACCATGTGCAGATGAAAGGAAAATTAAACTCTTAACAATCTAACAGAACTCTCATTTGTACACACTCAACACTGGAAGTTAATGGAATCTGTTGCCAGGGAAGCCGTAATGCAATGTTGAGGTGTGCTGGAAATTGATTGAGATCAAGTTTTCTGGCCTGTGACTGAGATGTCCCACCTCCCAGCAGTGCCAGCTTCGGTCAACAGGTATAAACTCCCCCTTTCCCCAAGCCTGTCGTATATGCATTCTGCGCCTTAAGCTGTCTCATAATTTTCCAGGTGACCTCTTGATATTGTAAATACATTGCTTAGTATGGTACCCTACAATGAGATGTAAGAGCCAACATAATGTTTTTGAGCCTGGAGTGTATGTTAAATTTTAACTTTATTCTGCTGTTTATTTTGTTTAATCATTGGAATGAATGAGGCAAGATAATGCAATTGCTCATCCTGAGCCAGAGAAAGCACACTCTAGACTGATAGTTTATGGAGCAGTGGTGAGGGCATGTGGTGTTGTCAGAGGTGTCATCTTTGATGAAGGATAGGCCTTGCTTTAACTTAGAGAATTTGCAACTTCAGGTTGCCCCAAAACGAATGACTGCTCATGAAGTACTTGCTGAAGCCATTCTTATAGTTTAAGAAATTTGCAGCTAGCAGAATCACTCAAACAGCAGTACAATAGCCAGATAATCTGTTCCAGAGATGAAGGCTGAGGGATAAGTATTGGCCAGGAGCACAAACTTTGACGTTAACGTAAAATATCCTGTGGTGTGCTAGAAGAGAAAATTAATCTGATGTCTTTTGGTAGCTATTTTACCATCAATCAGTTCTACCAAAAACCTATGTCTAGTCCCATTTATTTACTGCATGTGGGACTTAATGGATATTGACTGTAATGCTTAACTACATGCTGACAGTGAATATGCTTCAAGCATGATCCATTGTCTATTAAACATTTTGGGAGTATTGTACTTTACATTTGTTTTGAGTTCTGTGCAATTTTCTATTCCTTTCAGTCTGAACTAAATCGACTTACAGAAATAGAGAACTCCCTGGCGACTTTTTGCATGGCTACATATGGCGAAGGTGATCCCACTGACAATGCACAAGACTTCTATGACTGGATGCAAGAGACTGATATCAATCTATCTGGTGTGAAATATGCAGTAAGTACTAAAGAAAAATGGGCAAAGGGTTTGTGACTTTATAGGTCTTGTATAACCTAAACTAATGTGAAGATAATTTCAAAGGAATCTTCAGTCTGGTGAATTGTACAATCTGTAGTTAATGAAATGCAGTTTGTAGTATGTTCACATCAGGAGTGAATGTAGCTTTATTTTGAAATGTTTCTTTCTTATTAGTGAAATATAATCTTTAATGTATTTATTGCAAGTATAGAAAATAACTTGCAAAATAATGCATCATGAATCTTATTTAAAATATATTTGGTCATGTTTTAGTTTCTGGGGAGTTCTGTAGGCAGATTCCCTCAAATGATGTCCCAAAGCAGCTTGAAATTTCTGCTTTTTCTTTTTAAAAAAAAAAAAAAAGTTCATACATGGATGAGGGTGTCGCTGGCTGGACCAGCATTTGCTGCCCTCTGGGCAGTTGAGTGTTAAACACATTGCTGGCCTTACCTACTCTGACTTCTACGTGACTCCAGACTCACTGCAGAATTCCTCCCTGAAGGACATTAGTGAACCAGATGGGTTTTTACAACAATCAGCAGTTGTTGCATGTTGTCATTAGGCCATCTTTTAATTCCAAATTTTATTGAATTTGAATTTCAATTTGTCATCGGATTTGAACCTCTGTCCACAGAACATTGGCATGTGGTTCTGGAATACCAGTCACTTGATATTTATGACTGTACCAACTCTTCTGTCACGTTTGAGGCATGATATGTAGCAGATACAACATACTTGGGAGGAACATACTACACCTGTGGTTCAGTGGTAACTCTCTTGCCTCTGAATCAGAGGGCTCAAGCCCCCACTCTGGGATTTCAATATGGAACTTTTCTCACGAATGCCCACCCCCTCTTCCAGAGATGCTCAGTAGCAGCCCTGTGTACCGTCTACAAGATGCACTGCAGAAATTATCTAAACATCCTTAGACAGCACCGTCCAAATCCCCAGCAACTTCCATTTAGAAAGACGAGATACATGGGGAGACTACCACCTGCAAATTCCCCTCCAAGCCTCTCCATCCTGAATTACAAATATATCACCGCTCCTTCAGTGTCAGGAGGTCAAATGCCCTGGAATTCCCTCCCTAAACAGCATGTGGTTCTACATACAGCACCTAGACTGCAGAGGTTCAAGAAGGCAGCTCACCACCACCTTCTTGAGGGCAACTAGGGACGGGCTATAAAAGCTGGCCCAGCCAGCAAAGTCCACATCCTGCAAATGAACTTAAATAAACACAGGCGATTTAGCACCTCAGGCTCCCAAAGCACTCCATTGGTGGTGCTTTGCCACCCCCCCCCCCCACCCCCCGCCCTCCTCCCCCCCCCCCCCCGTCACCCATGCCATCCCCCCCCCCGCTCACCGTCCGTCAGCTTATCCCCACCTCCATGTTAGGGTCTGTTGTGAAGTTTCATTGCTATGAGTAGCCAGTATCTCTTGCCAATGGTTATCATTGATACAACATGGCTTGCAGGGTGATAGGAAGTGAATTAAGTGGGCCTTTATCTTTGACTGTCTAGCAATTCCAGTTTTCCATTGAAGCTCAATGGTTCCCAAAATGGGGATTACTGCAGTAGAGTCCCAATTTGCAGAGAGATAGATGCAGTGGAGTGTGAGTGGAATCCAGCAAGTCTGGGGACATGTAGAATCTTTTGAATTTTACCTGTAGGATCTTCTATTTTTAATTCTGTTTTCTGCCCGGCAGCTAGTTTGTTGCTGGTTAGGAAAGCAAGTGGCAATAAGTTTCTGCCAGGCCCCTTGGAAACTGTCCTTGACAATTAAGATGGACTAAGCAAGTGTTCAGGACAAGGTGAGGACGGACAGGCAGCTTTCCACCTCTGATTATGCTGTTGTGATGGGTAAGGGAGAAGCTACTATTGACAGGCTGAATGCATCTCTGAGGAGCCCGGATAGCACTCTTTCTCCTCCACTGATAGCTTTTTCTGAGCCGGGAGAAACACAGCTGCCTACTGTTAGTTGTGCTGTCGGAGCCTCAGTTAAATATGCTGATGAAGTTAGAGAGGACACAGTTCTCGGTAGGTTGCCATATCCCCATTTTAACATCTTTAACCTCTTTTCCTCCACCAAATCGCTTGTTACTATCGAGACGCCAGTTATGGCTGTACTGTGGTCTTCTCCACACACGGTGATCCCACTTGCATCCAGGCCAGCTGCAGAAGAGTGAAAGCATGTATGCAGTGTTCAAACAACCCTTGATGAGAGGTTGGCTGTCAAAACAATTAATAAATTCTATTGATTGTAATCTGCTGCAATTAGGAAAGGCAGGTGAAGGATAGGAAAATCCATCTTCATGCATAATAATTGAGAATTGAACCTGCTGTGGTCTGAATTTTTAAACACCTACTGCCCTTTAGTATCTAGTCCCCCAGGATTACTGAAACATAATACGGTACTTTAGTTCAGAACCATGAAAAGTCTTGTTTGCAGAGTTTGGTCCTCATGAACTTTCTGCAAAATGTAACAACTTTTCACTGAACCCATGTGTCCCAAACAAAAAAAAAAGGCATGTCCGAGACCTGATTGTTAAAGAGTTTAGAATTTGCTTTCTTTTTCTAGGTCTTTGGACTTGGTAATAAAACTTATGAACACTTTAATGCGATGGGCAAGTATGTAAACAAGAGATTGGAACAGCTGGGAGCAGAAAGGATCTTTGAACTGGGTCTGGGAGATGACGATGGCAAGTGAGTGCTTTTGTATGTCAAGGTTTTATGAAAATGTCAAGATATTTTTGGAAGCCCTTTTTTGTAGAGTGTTCTAGCCTTCAGGGTTTCCTAACTGGGATGCAAAGTTTAACCGGTGTTTTCTTTTACCCGAGCTGAAAATGAGATTTTTTGCCCGCTCCAGGTTAAAATCTTTAATTGCTTCGTCTTTGAATGCAACAGTGGTTTTTTAAAAAAACTTTAATTGTTTTCTTTTAAATCAAGCTTTATACTTTAAAATGCGATGTGTTCAGTGTCTGGGTTGCTGCATTTGTTTCATTTGAGGCTAAGGTGCTGATACTGGAAGGCTTTCACAGTTACACGTGACTTTCATGAACTAGTGACAAATGCTGTGGTCAGAGACTAATTGCTAAAATGTAAAGTGGCACAGTTCATTCTGTTGCCATTTCTGAGGTACAAGAGAACTGACCGATTTAATTAGGGAGAGCAGCTATGTTCTTTTAACAAACGGTTACATCTCTAATATTGGTCGTAAGCAGGTGTCGCATGAATGCTTAAAGATGCTCCTCTTCTGCAATGGTTTAAGGTATATAGACATGGAAAGAAACCAATTATCACCAGACATTTTTCTTCTTTCCTATCGTACCCTATTTTATTTAACAATATATTTAAAATGCATTATAAACGCAAATAAGGAAGGCCAAATGCCTTGAAATTTTGCAGTAATAAAATTTAATTATCCTATGCCAGCTGAGCCTGTGATTACTTTTAACCAGCAGCTGGAAAGAACTCCAGAGGCCTGCTGTCCGAATGTAGTGTTTACTCACGTCATTTTAATGGTCAGATTGTGATTGCCATGAGGTTATGATTTCTGGTTTTGATTGTTTGCTGTGCTGTCTCCATATAGGCAAGGAGATTTGCTGTATGTTTTTTTGTAATGAGGTGAGATATTGGGCCTCTATTGTATTTGCTGACATAAGCTTTAAGATGTACTGCACGTCTAGGTGTGGGGGGAAGAGTTTACCTGTTTCTGGAGACAGTCATATCCTGTAGGTTAAGTACTTCAAATTTGGCCAGTGATCAGGAACAGGACAGCACGGTAGTCCAGTGGTTAGCACTGCTGCCTCACAGCATGAGGGACCCGGGTTCAATTCCACCCTCGGGCGACTGTCTTGTGGAGTTTGCACGTTCTCCCTGCGTGGGTTTCCTCTGGGTGCTCTGGTTTCCGTCCACATTCCAAAGATGTGCAGGTTAGGTGGATTGGCCGTGCTAAATTGCCTGTAATGTGCAGGTGGGTTAGCCCTGGGAAATATAGGGTTACAGGGATAGGGTGGGCCTGGATAGGATGCTCTTTGGATGGGTTGAATGCCCTGCTTCCCCACACTAGGGATTCTGTGATTCTAGGAGGGTGTGACTACAAGTGAGGAAGGTAAAGGGATCTTGAAGTTAGCTTTGGAGGAGCCTCAACTCTTGACCTTGTCCAACAGATATCAGATACTTGATCCCTGTGTGGATGTGAAAAAGGATTATAGGGAGGATGGGCTGTCGTACAGGAGGCCATTCAAGTTGGGGGAGCCAAAAGAAAAGTGGTAGGGCATTCTGTAATTAGGCATAAAGATAGCATCCTTTGTGAGCAGGATTGAAAGTCCCGCATGGTGTGTTGCCTACCTGATGCCAAGGTAAGGGGCATTGCAAACCAGCTTGAGATGATACTGGAGAGGGAGCAGGATGAATCCAGTTGTGGTCTATGTTGGCAGCAACAACTTGGGCAAGAGTGGCAAGAGGTCCTGTTTGGAGAATATCAGGAATTAGGAACAAAATTAAGAAACAGGATCTCAAAGGTGCTAGCTTCTGGATTATAATCCAGGCCATGTTCAAATTGGTATAGAGATAAGAAAATTAAGGAAGTATACACTTGGCTAAAGGAGTAGTGCTGGAAAGAGGGGTTCCAGTAAGTCAGATAAACATGATTTTTCCCTTAAGAAAGCTATGCTGACTCTCTCTCTTTTGTCCATGTGACTATTAATTTTATTCCAAATTACTGATTCTGAAAGGTTCTGATGTTAATCTGACAGTTTTGTAATTGCTGAGCCTCTGCTCAGAGACTTTTCTTGTTTCTGAAGAGGTGTGTAAAGTTTGCAAAGTGCCAGTATTCTAGCACTATTCCAAGGTCCAGGGAAGATTGTGGCTAGAGCCTCCGTAACTACTACACACTCTTCCTTCAATATACTTTCCTACATCTTATTTGCTCCTGATTCTTGTCAACTTGAAGTGCCAACAGCTTATCCAATGTTACTTCCTTATCGATTTTGAACTCTTCTCTTGAGTTTCCTCCACTGTCACCATGGCCTCAGTGGCATCTGCTTTCCTATTAAATATGGATGGAAAATGGTAATCGGAATGCTCCTTTTTCCAGTCTTTGCGTCCTGATTATGTGGCTGTAGAAGACTTTGGGATTTCCTTTGTTTCTTGCCAGTCTTTTTTAAAAGTCCCTCTTTCTTTCTGTTTGCTTTTCCATCCCTTTTCAGAAAGGGGTATCACGGCTTTAGCGTGAGCTGCGCTTCCATGAGAAACAAATGTCCTCACCAGTTTCTGAAATGGAAAACCAGTTTTTGAATGGGATCACAAGAGACTTTTGCATTTACCTGCCTGATTCTCTCGAACTGGCTGGCAGTCACCCATTCCCTACTTACCTGCTTGCCTTAACCTGCAGTGTGCATACCTCTCTGACAAATGTATCTAGCACCCACAGGCCAGGTATTGTCTGGCAGTAGGAAAGAAGCCATTTCGGAGTGGCAGCCAGTTCCATTACTGTGGCGCGGTACTCGGACTGGGGCAGGATTGGACAAGGACCCTTGCTGCTAGGTATCTGACAAAATACAGAATGTGGCATTTGTTCAGACCACGCTCTGTCATCTCATTTAATGGCAACCCCTAAATCATAATCCTAAACACTGAAATGAGTTTGCAGTATAATTAATCCAAGATCTTTCTCTACATGTTAGCTTGGAGGAGGATTTCATCATGTGGCGTGAGCAATTCTGGCCAGCAGTGTGTGAGCATTTTGGAGTGGAAGCCACTGGTGACGATTCCAGGTCAGTGCAATGCAGGTCATTTTATATAGACCAGCTAAATTCTTTGTCTGTCACTGTTTTCAAAAAAAAAGCCAGGCAGTGGACAATAGAATAGAACCAATCTTAGTCATCAGGAGCCAAGAGTCTTACACTTGCATCCAAAGCAACTCATGAATCTGGAAAGTCCTCTTACTTCACTACTTTTCATCGAGCTTTTAATAGTTTTGATCAGTGGTATGCATAGAATGTCTCAAATCTCATAGATTTAACTACACTACAATGCATGGGTACCAATTTCTGACATTTGATTTGTACCTAATGTATAACTCTGATTAGATGAATGTTGACTGAGGGGGTGGGGAGGGAGTCTGCAACTTATAACAAAAAAAATCCAAAAAGCCATCAGTTGCTTTTTTGGACATAGATTGTTACTGAACTTTCTATGTGGAAGTTTGAAGTATTTATCTAAATGATTTTGATAACCAAGACAAGTTTATCTTGTCAAGTGTAGAGGTTGTTTGTGCTTTGTAGATTCAGTTTAAAAGCAGCATTGTATTTACTGCTTTGCAGCATCCGTCAATATGAACTAGAGGTGCATAACGACATTAACATGAATAAAGTCTATACTGGAGAGATGGGACGTCTGAAAGCTTATGAAACTCAGAAACCGTAAGTGACTTTTTACAGTGTTCTTTGAATTGTCATTGTTTGTATTATGCTTATATTGAAATAACACTTGACTATTTCTGTATAATTTAACAAGCAGTAATCTTAATTTCAAGGCGTAAATTGAAGAAACTTTGTATCCTCCTGTCAGTGCACTTTATTCCACTTATATGGTATCTATTATCTATCCCACTTATTGATACTGATTAACTTATTTGGCACAGAAACACAGTCATCTCGTGTCTGTCAATTTTGCAGCAGAGCCAGTGCCACAATCATCTTGTGAAGATATGGATCCTCAAATGTGCTTTCATCTTTCTGGAAAGAATATTGTAATCCTTTTTTTGTGAAATCACTAAGTTAAACCAGTACTTGGAAACCTGCCAAAGAGCTTCATAATTGGTTGATTTATACTCTGCCTTTGTGTAACATCTCACTTCTCTGCTCTACTTTCAAGATAAAATGTATTTTTCAAGAAGCAATTCCAAGCTAAAGCTTTTCCCCACAGCCACCTTCAAAATGCTTCAATAAAGTTACTCAACTTTTTCCTTACTTGGTGACATCTCAGAGCAGTCAACAACAGGATGAGACTTTAACAGGTTGTGACAGATTCTGTCATGGATATTTTGATATTTGATCCCTTCTGAACTGCCAAAACTAGTGAAAGAATAGCTCACGGGTCTTAGAACTCTCAGCAGAAAAGTTGTAAAGGGAAGTACTGAATTTCTCCACCTTTTTTGGAGTATGTTAATTTTCACCACCCCTGTTCCCTCTGCTGCCCTCCTGAAAACATATTGTTCCAGGATAGTAAGTTAGATTAATGCCTAATTGAAAATGTTCTTTTCCTGACATGTATGAGTCACTTTCAAGCTCAAAAGATTTCAGCTGTTTCCATTTGTTTGCTGACCTTTACCTAATATTGTAATAATTCAAACCTTTACTTCCACAAAGTAAATGTAAGCTTTTTATCAAAGTTGGCTTAACAGCATTTGCCCATGACCTGTGTTGATTCCTGGGTGCTGCAATGTCTTAATTCTAAACTCTAATTTTTCTGTTAAAATTACTGTATGACCTTTCCCTTCCTTATCTCAGCATTTGTCTTTAAGCCCTACAATTCTCAAATCTCTTATCACAATACAGAACTGAAATGATAGAACTCATTGCCTTGTGTTGCTTCAGAAATGAGCATTGATACCTTTAAGGAACGGTTTAATGAATACTTGAGGAACAAAGAAATAGAATGATACAGGGCATGATGGGAGGAAATGATTGGCTGCGATAGAGCTTATACAGACTATGGGTCAGTTGGCCTGAATGACCTGTTCTATTCTGAAAGTTCTGTGTAATTCTATCTATGCCTTGTAACATTTAGGCCTACAGTCTGTTTCATTCATAAAGCATTTAATTTCCCATGTTTCCATTGCAACAGTGCTGTTTGTCTTCATAGGACATCTAATGTATTCTGCCTAAGGCTACTATGCAAGCTGGTGAATTGATCTCTGCTCATCTCATTAAATAGTTGCTACAGCATTTCCGAGTGGAAGGGATAGCAGGGCCAGTTCACCATGGCCTGGCCTACTCCAAACACATCACATTTTAAAATGAGTGTGCATTGCAATATCCTTTTCACCAAATGGTGGACCTGTTTGATGCATACCTGGGAATGCAAGAACCACCCTTATTTAAGTCCTAATTAACCGTTCACCGAACAATTTTTCAAACTATTTATGAAAACCTTATTGATTAATCACTGCCGAGCTAATCATGGTGCTCCACCTTAATAGCACCTGACATGCTGAGAAAATGGGAAATTCCTGTCCTCGATGGTTCGTATGGACAGATTAAGCAATGTGCAAGCAAATGGATAGAGACGGGGTTGTTTACCGAATGGACAAGAGACAGTGATTGTGAGACACTCCACCCATGGCAGATCTGGCGTGCAGGAGACAGGAGGATGGGATGCACGATAGGGGCAGATAAAAACAGCCCAGTCATAACATTTTGAAATTTCAGTAAATTAGGGTGTGAGTTACCTATGGATGAAATAATGCTCAGAGGAGTTTGAAGTTAGCCCAGTAAAAAAAATAAAAATTAGTGGGATCATTGCTAGTTTGTGCCATAAGTTGGTTGACTCTTTCAAAGCACTGGTACAGGCAGAGTGGGTTTCCTTCTGTGATGTATAATCCCAAGATCTACAGAGGGGAATACTACTAAGTTTGGAATAGTTAGAGAAGGTTTTTAAAAAAAATCATCAGGAAGTACAGGCTAGAATTTGAGAAATTGAATTTTAAAGGGTTTTGAAGGGTTTTGAAGTGTTGGAAGATTGGGTGAGTGATTGGGTAAGTTGATTCCTGACAGAGAAAAATGAGGTGATTTCCAAAATCCATCTCCTCGGCTTCTATTTTGTTGTCCGCTGACGCAAATATTGAACAGCGCTACCTTTGGTTGATGTGCGCACCACTCTGATGGTCAAACATAATGTTGTTTCCAATTCAGGCCTTATGATGCAAAGAATCCATTTTTGGCATCTGTGACCGTGAACCGGAAATTGAACAAAGGAGGAGAACGGCACCTCATGCACCTCGAGCTGAACATCACTGGTTCAAAGATTAGGTAAAGAAATTAAGGACTTCTTTGTTTTAATTTGGGCACTGTTGGATTAAATTGCATCTATTTTCAATGCAAGAGGGCTGACAGGTAAGGCCAATGAACTCAGGGCATGGAGAGGTACGTGGGACTGGGATATTATAGCTGTTACAGAAACATGGCCAAAGGAGGGACAGGACTGGCAGCTTAATGTGCCAGGGTACAGATGCTTTAGGTGGGACAGAGGTAGAGGAAAGAGGGGAGGGGGAGTTGCATTTTTTTGATTAAAGGAAGTAGCACAGCAGTAGTCAGATGAAATAACTGAGGGATCATCCAGTGAGGCTTTATGGGTGACGCTAAGAAATAAGGGGATGGTGATGTTATTGAGGTTGCACTGTAGGCCCCCAAGTTGTTAGCAGGAATTAGAGGAACAAATATGCAGGGAGATTAGGGAGACTTGCAGGAGAAATAGGTTTGTCATAGCGGGGAATTTTAATTTTCCTAACATATACTGGGACTGCATTAGTGTTAAGGGCTAAGATGGGGTGGAATTTGTCAAATGTGTTTAGGAAAGTTTTCCTCAAGCAGTATATAGAGGTTCCTACTCAAGCAGGGACAAAACTCAACCTACACTTGGGAAATAGGGCAGGACAGGTGACTGAGGTGACAGTGGGGGAGCACTTTGGGACCAGCGACCATAGTTCTATTAATTTTAAAATAGTTATGAAGAAGGACAAAACTAGTGCACAGGTTCAAGTTCTAAATTGGGGCAAGGTGGATTTTGATAGAATTAGACAGGAACCTGCAAGGGTTGATTGGAGTAGTTTGTTTGCAAGCAAAGGGACCTCTGGCAAGTGGGAGGCCTTTAAAAGTTGTGATAGCTAGAGTTCAAGGTCAATATATTCCTGTGAGGGTGAAGGGCACGGTTGGCAGGAGTAGGGAACCCTGAATGACGCGATACTGAGGCTTTGACCAGAAAAATGAAGGAGGTATGGCTCAGGTACAGGCATCTGGGATCCAGGGAATCCCTGGAGGTATATAGGAGATACAGGAATTTACTGAAGAAGGAAATCAGGAGGGCGATAAAGGGGCACAAGATGGCATTGGCTGAGAAGATTAGGTTGAATCCAAAGGGATTCTTTAAGTAAATTTAAAGGAAAAAGATTAACTAGAGAGAGAATAGGACTCCTCAAGGACCAAAGTGGAATTTTGTGTGTGGAACCGCAGGAGATGGGTGAGGTCCTCAATGAATATTTCTCCTCTTTGTTTGCCATGGAGAATCACAGGAAGGTTTGGGAGCTTGTAGAGGTGCTTTTGGAAGTGTTAGAATGTATGAAGGTGCATAAATCTCCTGGTCCTGAACAGGTGTATCCAAGAACCCTGCAAGAGGCTAGAGAAGAAATTGTGGGGGCCCTGGCTGACACATTTGCATCGTCGTTAGCCATGGGTGAGGTCACGGAAGACTGGAGGGTAACAAATGTTGTGTCCTTATTCAGGAAGGGCTGCAAAGACAAATCTGGGAATCATAGACCAGTAAACCTAACATCTGTGGTAGGTAAGTTATTTGAGAAGATTCTGAGGAATAAGATATACATGCATTTGGAAAGACAGGTTTGATTAGGAGCAGTCAGTATGGCTTCTTGTGGGGGAGATCATGCCTCACAAATTTTAGAGTTCTTTGATGAAGTGACCAGGAAATGGTTGAGAGCAGGGCAGTAGTGGTAGTCTAATGGATTTTAGTAAGGCCTTTGATAAGGTTCCACATGGTTGGCAGCTCTGGAAGGTTAGATCGCATGGAATCCAGGGAGAGTTGGCAAATTGGATACACAATTGGCTTGAGGGTAGGAAGCAGAGAGTAACAGTGGAAGAATGTTTGTCTGACTGGAGGCCTATGACTAGTGGTGTGCCTCAGGGGTCAGTGCTGGGCCCATTGCTGTTTGTTATCTACATCAATGATTTGGATGAGAGTGTATAAGGCATGACTAGTAAGTTTGTGGATGACCCTGAAATAGGCAGTATTGTGGACAGTGAGGAAGGTTATCCGAAATTGCAGCAGGATCTTGATCAGCTGGGGAAGTGGGCCGAGAGATGGCAAATGGAGTTTAATGTAGATAAGTGTGAGGTGTTGCATTTTGGAAAGTCAAATCAAGGTAGGAGTTCCATGGTGAATGGTAGGGCCTTAAGGAGTACAGTGGAACAGAAGGACCTTGGAGTTCAAGTGCAAGGTTCCCTGAAAGTGAAGTCACAGGTAGACAGGGCAGTGAAGGCGGCTTTTGGCACACTGGCCTTGATCAGTCAGGGCACTGAGTACAGAAGTTGGGAAGTTTTGTTGCAGTTGTACAGCTTGTTGGTGAGGCCACACTTGGAGTATTGTGTTCAGTTTTGGTCACCTTGCTATAGGAAGCATATTATTAAACTGGAAAGAATGCAGAAGAAGTTTACAAGGATATTGCCAGGACTCAAGGTACTGAGTTATAGGGAGAGGTTGGACAAGCTAGGACTTTTTCTTTACAGCATAGGAGACTGAGGGGGGAAATCTTATAGAATTGTATAAGATCATGAGAGGCATGGATAGGGTGAATGCACTCAGTCTTTTTGAGGATTGAGGAATTGAGGACTAGAGAGCATCAGTTTAAGGTAAGAGGGGAAAGAATACATGGGAACCTGAAGGGCAACTTTTTTACACAGAGGATGGCACGCATGTGGAATGAACTGCCAGTGGAAGTGGTTGAGGTGGGTACATTAACAACATTTAAGAGGCATTTGGACAAATACATGGATAGGAAAGGTTTAGAGGGATATGGGCCAAGTGCAGGGAAATGGCGTTAGTGTGGATGGACATTTCGGTCAGCATGGACCAGTCTGGACCGAAGGGCCTATCTCTGTGCTATAGAATTCTGACTGTATGACACTGGTTTCTTCAAATAGTTGAATATGAGATTAACTTCATATGTTGGAAGTAACTTGTTCCGTATTTCAGTCAGAAGGTGGTGAAGAATATTTAAGAAAAAATCTGGACTTCAAACAGAGGATGAGTCCTGGATGATTAACATTCTGAAATATTGCTTTTCAAAGTCTTTACAAGGAACATCATGAGTAACCTGACTCCAAGTGTATATAACCGAGGCCTAATTAATGACTTGGAGAGTACACTGAGATGAGGAGGAATTTCTTCTCATCAGAGGGTAGTCAATGTGTGAATTTCTTGACTACAGAGGGCTGACTTGGCTGGGTCATTAAGTACATTAAAACCTGTCTATCTCAGCCTTGAATTAGCAAGGGAATCAAAGGTTATAGGAGGAAGGCAGGAAAGTGGAGTTGTAGATTATCAGATCAGCCATGATAAGCCAAGGGGCCCACTTTGAATCCCATGTCTTATGGTCTCACGTAAATGGCCATTTTTGAACTGTTCTATTTAATATTTTGAAAATACGAAGAGTAAATTTGAATGTTATCAAGTGTAATCGGGGTCCATTATGTAGCAGTCAGTGGATTAAGGAGTAGAAGTTTATAGCTGAACAACCTCCTCCTTGTCTTTCTCATGGTATTTGGAGTGACAGAGGGATGGGCCACGATGTTGTGAAGGCATTTTCCTATGCAATTGCAGAGGTTATAACATTTGTCCCTTTCCGTTCTCACTGTCCAAGGCCCCAAACTGCTGTTCCAGGTGAAGCAGCATTTTACTTGTGGTACTTTTATAGTCTACTGTATTCGCTGTTCACAATGCCATCTTCTCTACATCAGTGAAATTATGTGCAGACTGGGTAAAGTCTGTGTGGAACACCACCTCTCTCTGCAATAATGCCCCTGACCCTCTGGTCGCTTCTTATTTCAACTTGTCATCTTGTTATCATGCAAACGCTTGTAGCCTAGGCTTGCTGTTCCAGCAAAGTCCTAATGCAAGCTGGAGCAGCACTTCCTTTATAGACATTTTACAGCCTTCTGGACTCAACAGTGAATTCAACAAGTATAAACCACGAACTCTGACTTCATTCTGATCTAATTTGATTTGATTTATTGTAGTCATGTGTACCTAAGTACGGTGAAAAGCTTTGTTTGCAAGCAGTACAGACAGATCACAGTAATCGGGGACATGCAGATCGTTGGACAGAGTGAGGCATACAGATTACACTGCACAGGAGGTACGAGAAACAAGATTAGCATTAACAAGATCAACATTGGTTGAAGTTAGAGAGTCCATTCATCAGTCTAATAAAGACAGGGAAGAAGCTCTTCCTGAACCTGTTGGTGCATGTGTTCAAGCTTCTGATTTCCAGCCACCACTACCACTGCCGCCATCACCATGTTTTGTTGCGTAGGTTTTCTCTCATTTCAGGGACATTCATAAACTGCTCAATATAACTGAGAGCTCAAACGTCAATTGAGGAGAGGAAAGGCAAACAGGACAGACAGTTGTATACAGGGAAGCTTGCCCAGCGAAGGTCGTGTCAGTAGATTAATGAGGAGTTAAGACAGTGTCTTGGTTAATTTTCTCATTTTGGGAGTGAGACAGTGTGAGATGTCTGATTTTTGTGATCAGTTAAAGAGGTGTGAATGTATGGGACCAACTATGTGTTAAGTCCCTTATATGGTGTTTCTTTCCCACTTTTCTGTTGTAGGTATGAAAGTGGAGATCACGTGGCTGTGTTCCCCGTGAATGATTCGACAATCGTTAGTGAGATTGGCAAAATATTAAACGCAGACCTAGATGTAATATTTTCCTTAAAAAATCTTGATGGTGAGTGATAAATGAACATCCACGTAAATAAAGGGTGTAAATTGGAAAAACAGAAAAGAATATTTGGTGTTAACTCCGTTGAATAATGGGATAGTAAACATTTAGATACCAGCATGCTTTTCACTGAATGTGATCAGTTGATGTAGAAGGGGCTGTAATTCCAGTCTGAAGTTTCTCCCCCACAGATGGTTAAGGAAGCATCCAAAGCCTGCCTCTTCTTGAGACAGATTTTTATTCACTGAATGAAACATAACAGATACATATCTCCTCAGCTGCTGTCAGTAAATGTCCCTCTGTGCTGAAGTGAGGCCCCTTCTGGTCCAGTGGCAGTGTTCCTACCTCTGAGCCAAAGGATCTAGGTTCAACTCCCATCTGCCCTGGAGGTGTGTCATTACATTTCCAAACAGGCTGATCAATGGTAATAATGTACTGTAGTAACCAGTGCCCCTCACTTGTTTAACTTCAGTTGATGCCATTAACAGACTCTCAACACTCTTGTGCAAGTTGTGCTGTTCATTACTGTAATTTCGTTAAGAGGCACTAATTTAATAATTGCACCACCAGTGGGAACATGAGAAATGGAAAGAATAATTTAAAAATGAATTACTGTGAAGTTTACTCCATTGCTATTACCGTAGTGTTTCTTTTTAATAGCAGTGGCATTTATGAATCCTGCTTCCTTCAGCTTCCAATATTTCATCTGTATTTTTCATTCTTTTATTACCTGAAAGAGGCCTGTTCTGAGTCGAGTTTAAATATAAACCATTTGATGTAAGCTGTCAGAGTTCACAAGGCAAGTGACCTATCACTAATTTGTTCTGAAATACTGAAAACAATGCTTCCAGCCACTATAAGAGGTTCTTAAACTCTCGCCTGAGAGTCTATGTTTAGACACTTGACTATATAAACAATCATTGCGCAGCCTGGTGCTTGACTAATGCTGATTAGGGTGGGTTAATGAGCTTTGATAAAATAAAAGGATACACGCAACTTATCCTCCATTTGGAGAAGTGTACTAACTTACTCACAAGTGGGATTTGATTTTTTGTTTGAGATCAGTTATCCTTCAAGTGCTTCAAATGCATATCATTATTTTATTACCATTATAATGGAAGTGCTGAACAAATGCGCACTCCAGTGTGTCATTAATTTTCTTTTTATTGTGTTTGTATGCTTCTAGAGGAGTCCAATAAGAAGCACCCATTCCCCTGTCCAACTACGTACCGAACAGCTTTGTCATATTATCTAGATATCACCAATCCTCCACGCACTAATGTTCTCTATGAACTGGCCCAGTATGCAACGGATCCCAAAGAGCAAGAATTTCTTCGAAAAATGGCTTCATCCTCTCCTGAAGGAAAGGTAAAGGACACAAATGTTTATTGAGAGCCCCGTAAAGTGAATCCTGTTAATAAACAATTTGAACATCCACTATGTGACTCATTGTGCCCTCTCTCCTGTGCACTTGTTCTCTCTCACTATCTCTCCCATTTTATTCATTTCTAGCTACAGTACAATAAAAATTTGCCTTTGATCTAGCCCCCAGAATGTGGAATTTTCTCCTTGCCTTCTCTATCCTTTAACATAGATAACACAATGTGGAGCTGGAGGAGCACAGCAGGCCAGGCAGCATCAGAGGAGCAGGAAAGTTGACGTTTCGGGTTGGGACCCTTCTTCAGAAATGTCAATTTTCCTGCTCCTCTGATGCTGCCTGGCCTGCTCTGCTGCTCCAGTTCCACACTGTGTTATCTCTGACTCCAGCATCGGCAGTTCTTACTATCTCTATCCTTTAACAAGTTTGTTAAAACCTATCCCTGTAGCCAATTTTGGGTAACCTACATTCATAGGTAGCTTCATGTCTTTTTTGTTCCTGCTAATGTTTCTGTCAAGCCCCTCAATGTTTTGGGGTGTTAAAGTTCCTACATACATAAGTACATCGACAGAATACTGCTTCTGTTCTCTGGTGGCTTGCTCTTGCACATCGAGATGAGATTGAATTTTATTAAATAAATACATATCCAATACTTACAGATGGGATTGATATCCGCGGGTTCAGTAAAATGTGGAGAATTTTATTACATACATGTAGTCTGGCATAACATAGCAAATGCATTGAGTATAGGAGTTGGGAGATCATGTTGTGGCTGTACAGGATATTGGTTAGGCCACTTTTGGAATACTGCATGCAATTCTGGTCTCCCTGCTGAAGGAAAGATATTGTGAAACTTGAAAGGGTTCAGAAAAAATTTACAAAGATGTTGCTGGGGTTGGAGGGTTTGAGCTATAGGGAGTGGCTGAGTAGTGTGGGGCTATTTTCCCTGGAGTGTCGGAGGCTGAGGGGTGACCTTACAGAAGTTTATAAAATCGTGAGGGGCATGGATAGGGTGAATAGCCAAGGTCTTTTCCCCAGGGTGGGAGAGTCCAAAACAAGACAGCATAGGTTTAAGGTGAGAGGGGAAAAGATATGAAAGGGACCTAAGGGGCAACTTTCTCACGCAGAGGGTGTTGCGTGTAAGGAATGAGCTGCCAGAGGAAGTGGTGGAGGCTGGTACAATTACAATATTTATAAGGCATTTGGATAGGTGTATGAATAGGAAGGGTTTGGAGCGATATGGACCAAGTGCTGGCAAATGGGACTAGATTAGTTTGGGATATCTGGTAGGCATTGACGAGTTGGACTGAAGGGTCTGTTTCTGTGCTGTACATCTCTATGACTGTAAGAGGCCATAGAGCTTTTCTCACTCCTTTTGAATGTTTGTTGAACAGTGTGGTGCCCCTGTGGTATAATCTGTCCCAGAGGTCAGGAGGGACACATTGCTGATAAATGCTTAATAGAATGACTTCCAACTGGAGAAAGTGAGGCGATCGCTTCAATCTTTTTATAGTAAGGATGTCTCTGTACTGTGTTTCAGTCGCAATACCTCAAGTGGGTAGTGGAAGACAGGAGGAACATTCTGGCCATCTTACAAGATTTGCAGTCTCTCCGCCCACCTATCGATCATTTGTGTGAGCTGTTGCCACGGTTACAGGCTCGTTATTATTCTATTGCTTCATCTTCAAAGGTGAGACTTACTGAGAAGCCTTGCCAAATACATGCTATTCATGCAGATAATGTAACTGCTTATTAACCACTTGCAGTATGGTTTTGATCATAGTACAAGTAAACACACATTATTTTAAAATTTTATATTCAAAATTCTGCCAAACGTGTTCAGTGATTCATCTTTGACTGATGAATTCCTATTGTGTCACCTAGTCATCTGTGTCAGAGTGAAATGTGACCATGTTTTTATGGGGGATTGGGACTAGGACAATGCGTGATGCCACTAGATCTCCAGGGAGAGGTGACAGTTTGAGGCCCTGTTCTGCAGTGCTATTGGTATCGGCTGGTACCTCTTTAATGTATCAGGTTGTCCTATAAAATGTAAGCAGGTTGAAAGATAAAGCAGTTTAGCTTTGCCTGGCTCTGAGGGGGCAGGGAAAGAAATTGAGCTAACGGATCACAGAAATTGATATCCATCTTTCAGCTTTGAAACATCTCAGGAGTGAGGGTTGAGGAATTGTGGAAGGACAATCCAGGAGGTCTCCAGGTTTCCGTCTTAACTGTGCCATTCAGAATAGGTACAGGAATCAGAATCCATTAGCTCTCATGTAGATATCTGTTAGCGTTAATGTGTGCAGCAATTCTATGATTTAAGGTGAAATTTAACAACAGTACCCTATCTGAGCTCCAGTTTAGGATCTGGTGTAAGTGTTACAGAAACAAACAAACATACTTGGGCACAAATATTTCTGTCAAAACAGTTCTGGGAGAGATCACTGTTCTGTGAAAATCTATCTGCAAAGAAACAGTAACTGGTGGTGATTTAGTATTGTACCTTTGTAACATGTCTATTTTTTGCTCGTCTAGGTTCGTCCTGATTCCATTCATATTTGTGCAGTTGTGGTGGAATATATGTCTAAAGCAGGTCGCATCAACAGGGGTGTAGCAACAACCTGGCTGCGTGACAAAATCCCAACTGATAATGATCACAAACCCACTGTCCCAATGTACGTGCGGAAGTCTCAGTTCAGGCTGCCTTACAAACCCAGCACACCAGTCCTCATGATTGGACCTGGCACTGGCATCGCTCCCTTCGTTGGGTTTATTCAGGAGCGGGCATGGCTGAAGCAGCAAGGTAGAGAAGCAAAATAATGCTTCCAATGTTAACAGTGCCCGGAGTGCACTCCTCTTCACTTCGGGTTCCTCTGATTAGATTCTATGTATTGATTCTGACGTTTCCGTAAAACTTGGCCCATCCAGTCTGCTCTACCATTCACTCATGGCTGATTTACTTCTCAACCCCATTCTCCTGCCTTCTGCCTGCAACCTTTTGATCCCCTTGCCACTCAAGAGCTTATCTATCTTTGTCTTAAATACACTTAATGACTGGGCTTCCACAGCTTTCTGTGGCAACGAGTTCCACAGATTCACCATCCTCTGGCTGAAGAAATTCCTCCTCATCCTAGTTCTCAGGGGTTGTCTCTTCGCTCTAGGGCTGTTCCCTTGGGTCTTAGTCTCTCCTGCTTGTGGAAATATCTTCTCTATGTCCACTCTATTCAGGCCTCTCCGTATTCTGCAAGTTTTCCTTTTACTTCTCTTGTAGCCTCGCTTTATATTTTTCCCTTTCTGTAATGCTGTTCCACCTCTACGTATAGGGTTCTAGTTCTATCACAGTTAATGTACAGTCTATTTCCTGCAAGATATGATAATGGAATGTGCTGCTGGCTGGTGATTCTAAACAATATTGTAGCTGTGCTTTGTACTGCACAGACTGTTGTAGTTTCTAAAGGTGCCTCACTGCTTTTTCAAGGGCAATAAGAAATGGGTGATAAATGGTGTTCCTTTCTTCACCATGTATCCGTTGTACTTCAGTGATTCTGTACCGAGAAAGCTCTTCATATTTCCTTTAACGTCCAGAAACCTGAAGGACAGGCTCATTGGTCTAAATCCATCAAGTAGAAAGCAGCTGAACTCAGACCAGACCCCCAGGGCAAGGAGCTTCTTTAATATTCCTGGTTTCCTAGATCCAGTACTGTTTCATTTGCTTTATGCTGGCATTGTGTCTGCAAAAGTAGGTGGTTTTACAAAGCCCACGGTGCCACAGACGAGCAGCTGAATAACTAAAGCTGCAAACATTTCCATCAATTTTTGGAAACTTGCAGCGGCAAAAGACACCACCCAGGGTTTGGGTTTGGATTTGGATTCTGGTTCAGGATTTTAAAAGTGCTACAAGACTAAAAATGTTTCTTACAGGTTGGCCGACTGAATTAAAAGTGATCTTTATTTAATAATAACTTAGCAGTAGAAGGCCCTGCACCATGTTAGAATCAAGAGTAGTCAGTGTCTTCTGGAGCGACAGGGCCAATATACCCTACTGCATTTCACTGCCTGGAGAGATGGGGAATCCTAAAATATTACACCGTGGAAACAGACTGTTCTACCCATTATGTCTGCGTCTATTTTTTAAAAATCCTGATCCATCTAGTCAAATAGCACAATCCTAATCTATATTCGCCTGTTTTGATACTCTCTTTGTCTAATTTCCTGACTGCAGCAAATGCTTTTCCACACTCAAATTATCCCAAAGCAATGAAACTCCTTACCCTCCACATTCTGCCTTTCCTCTTATCAGCAGGCTTCCAAAAATATATTTGGTGTTTCTTGCTGTTCAACCTCTGTAGCACCACATAATGACCCTTGTCCTTTCCCTCACAATTCTAACCTCAGAATCCTGCTTGATGAAAAATCGTCCCTTTCTACAGCTTGATTTTCCCCACCCATAAAAATCCCAAACTGACTCCTAACCTACAAGTTATTCACACAGAGGTGAATGTGCTCGGGCAGTATGAGACAATTGCATTTTATTTGACAGGGAAGGAAGTTGGAGAGACTGTGTTGTACTACGGCTGTCGTTATCAGAATGAGGATTATTTATATCAGGAAGAGCTGGAGCAGTATCAGAAGGACGGTATCCTTACTCAGCTTAATGTAGCATTCTCCAGAGACCAGGCAGAGAAGGTGAGCCATTGTGAGGCTGGGTGAGTCCTGGCCATAATATATGGACTATTTTTATCTTTCTCTCCTCTCCTATGCCAAGGCACACCCTGATGTTACACGATGATGATTGAATACATTCCATATTGATAGCACTTTTGAAAAGTGACTGTTTTGGAGATTTGAATTTATATTGATAAGATAAGAGGAGCATATTCATGGTTTTTAAAAATCCTGATGAAGTCTTTCAGCTTTAACAGAAATACTTGACCAGTGTTTGGACAATGATGAGTAAAGTTTAACCCATGAGGTTCTACTAATTATCTTCAGGATTGGTGTTGGGTCTGAACGATGTCTGATGCCATTTGAAGCCCAATGCAGATTGTTCATACAAAAAGATTGAAACGCAAGATTGAAGCAATATTCTCTTTAAATAGAATCTATAATCTCTCCCCTTTGATCAATTCCTTACCTATCTCCATAAAATTATATTGGACACCCAAAGATGTAATGTATGTAGACTTCAGTAAAGTTCCACTCAAAAGGCTTGAGACAATGGGTATCTGCTCTGAAAATTAGTAATGCATGAGGAATTGATTGTGCGTTGAAAACTCAGTGGATGCTACTTAAAGCTGAAGTGTTTGACTGATCCTATCTCGTTTTGAACAAATTTGCATTGGCCTTTGGGATTTCGCTCAGCAGAGGCAATCAGATCTGACTACAAAGTCCCTGGAGCTATTGAGTAGAGCCTCAGCAATTTGTGTAAGAGGGCATCCTATTGCCAATGTGTATCTACGCTTAGCATTAAAATGGAATTGAAAAACTAGTCTCACTAAGCCTAGAATCAGTTGTCATAAAAACCAATCTGATTCCCTATTCCTTTAGGGAAGGGAATCTGCTGCCCTTGTCTGATCTGATCTTCAAGTGACTCCTGGCCCACACCTATGTCATTAACTTTTGACTGCCATCTGAAATGGTTTAGCATGCTGGTCGGTTCAAGGGATGAGCAACAAATGCTAGTGTTGCCAGTGGCGCCCAGAACCTATTGGAATTTATTTATTTTTTAAAATAAAGCAGCTTTGTAAATGCAGGGAACCCAGGACCAGAAAAAGTGGGGAGGTATGGATGGACGGGCCGGTCAGTGTAGTGCCCTGACTGGGAAAGCCAGCCCTGAGGAAAGTGCCCATGTCTTCTACACTTGTGCTGACTACACTGCAACAGCTGCCCCTCCTCCTGAGAGTGTCAAAATTGCAACTGGGCATTCCTCCCCCACCCCCTGTAACATTACAAACAGTTCTGGGTTGGTTAGGTGAGAAAACCACCTGAGGATTCTGTGGCCCCTCTGCCTCGTGGAGCTGTCAAATTCTTTCCCTATCAACAGGGTGTTGAAAGTCATTTGGAATTTCGCTGCCAGTGCACTGGAGGCCGTCGTGCTGAAGTGATTTCCTGTTTTGGTCAGGACATAAGCTGGGCACTGGATCCATTCTGGGAATGAGGGAAAATTCCACTTCCTGGAAGTGGAAGTGTGAAAGGTTTTGAGGAAAGTCCCACATGCCTGATGATTGTGCTGCAGTGCAAAAGTCAAAAGGCCAAGGCTGTTGAATCAGGGGCAAATGTAATGGGTCCTTGCATGAATTCTGAATGTTATTCCTTTTTAAAAATGGGGATAAGAAGGTTTGGTTCATGATGATTGGGTGGGGTGCAGCTGGTGGGGTGGTGGTATTTGAACAGAGATTAATCAAAAGCAAATTCAGAATTGATGTTAGGAAGCACTTCTTCTCACAGTCTAGCTTTTAGCTTTAAACCTCTGCACCCCTTTCTTATACAATTTAAGACCCTCCTTTTAAACTGATGACTTGACCAAGTTCTTAATTCATCCTAATTTCTTTTTTGATTTGGTATCAGATTTTATTTAATAAAGCACCAGTTAAATGTCTTGAAATGTTTTTCAGTTTCGAATGCCAGTTGTTATAGTTGGAAATGATTCCAAATGAGCAAGTGGCAGGAAAAAAAGTTGAATAATTTTGTAGCCGGCCATCAGAAATTCAGTAGGTTTTTAACAGAGAAATGGGCCAATGGCCGCCTCCTCTTAGAGATGTGATTTCAGATAACTAATTTTTTTTCCCTTCTATTGTGCACCTCAGGTTTATGTCCAACATTTGCTGAAGAAAAATAAAGAACACGTGTGGAACCTAATCCAGAAGGAGGGTGCCCATATCTACATCTGTGGGTAAGCACTGAGGAAATGCAGCACTTCACATGCATTAGCTTCAGTTGTGAAATAGCAAATGTGTCAATTTCCACGTGTCTGACTCCTCTTAAAGCAAAGTCCAGAAAAGGCTAGAAATAAGCAGTCAGTAGCTGGGACATAAGAGCAGTGGATTGATCTTAACTATGACTCGGGAGGCACTGGCCTAGTGGTATTATCATTGGATTGTTGATCCAGGTAATATTCTGGGCTTGAATCCTGTCACAGCAGATGGTGGAATTTGAATTCAATTAAAAAGAAGTCTGGAATTAACGGTCTATGAATTCATTGTTGGGAAAAGTCCATCTGGTTAACTAATGCCTCTGAGGGAAGGAAATTGCCCTCCTTACCTGGTCTGGACTTCATGTGCCTCCAGACCAACAGCAATGTGGTTGACTCTTAACTGCCCCCTCAGCATTTAGGGATTGGCAATAAATGCTGGCCTAGCCAGCGATGCCCTCATTCTATGAATGAATGAAAAAAGAACTAACACCATACCTGCACATCCTCCACTGTCCCCAACACCCCTCATGTCTTCCCCCAACCGTTACTTACTTCAAATTTCCGCACCTCCTCTTAGTTTTGCTCCCACTTGGGTTCCCTGACTCTTATTCTTGGTGCAAGGTGCAGAATTTCCAGTGTCTATCCCCAGGAAGCATTACCTCACCACATGATTTCCAGATTTGAATGTAGTTGGGAGCTACCCACTAGGTTGGAAATTTCACATTCAAATATTCTTTGGTAGCTAGGTGATTCTCTGTTTTGCTGTAGATTCCTTTCCTTTAATGCATAACATTTTCAACAGAAGAAGTCTCTAAATGATTTTCACTCATTAGACTCGTCCATTCTTGACATTTTCCCCACCTTGTAAAATGTTCTGCTGTATCTTTGTTTCCAAGCCTATGACCTGCAAATGTTTGCAGTTTATCCTTAATACAAAAGCACATTATAGGCTTTCAGCACTTCCCTCTCTTCTTCCTTTATGGTTTCTTGGCAAATTAACTGTGTAGGTTTTGTCTGATGAAGGGTCTAGGCCCGAAACGTCAGCCTCTCTGCTCCTATGATGCTGCTTTGCCTGCTGTGTTCATCCAGCCCTGCACCTTGTTGTTTAGGTTTTGTCTGTAGGCCTGAATTTTGGATATGGAGGTGCTGGTGTCAGAAGTCACATGACACCAGGTTATAGTCCAGTGGGGTTATTTGAAATCACAAGCTTTCAGAGTGCTGCTGTTTTGTCAGGTGAAGTGGATGAAAGCACACAGGCGCAGCATTTATATGTAGAGGTAATGGCAAGATAATTGCAGGTAATTGCGCGTCAAAAGATAAGTACAAATAGCGTGAGAGGAGTGTTGACTGGCTGAGTAACAAGTCTTTGCAGGTGATCAAAAGTGTCAACAGCTGAATAGCAAATGAAGGGATGACCTATGATCCAATTATTTAAGGCAGAGAGATAATTACAAAAAATCAAAAATAAAATGGTGTTAGAGACAAACCAAACGGCTGGAATAACAGATAGGTATAAGAGTCGCATGACAAGGATCTAACCAAAGTAATAAGTAATTCAAACCTGTACAAACTAATTAAGTTAAATCATAACAAGTTATGAAGGTGATGGTATTAAAACAGGACAGTTAGGAAGATTTTTGGGGCGACATGGTGGCACAGTGGTTAGCACTGCTGCTTCTCGGCGCCAGGGACCTGGGTTCAATTCCTGCTTCAGGCGATTGTCTGTGTGGAGTTTGCACATTCTCCCCATGTCTGCGTGGGTTTCCTCCGGTTTCCTCCCACAGTCCAAAGATGTGCAGGTTAGGTGGATTGGCCATGCTAAATTGCCCGTAGTGTTCAGGGAGGTGTAGATTGGGTGGGTTACAGGGGTATGGGTCTGGGTGGGATGCTCCGAGGTTCAGTGTGGACTTGTTGGGCTGAAGGGCCTGTTTCCATACTGTAGGGATTCTATGATTCTGATTTACAGATACAGAACTGTGTGGTGGGGTCATATGTAGCTCAACATGGACCCAATATCATGGTTGAGACCATTCTCATGGGGACGGAACTTGGCTATCAGTTTCTGCTCGGCTGTTGTGCGTTGTTGTGTATCTTAAAGGCCGTCCTGGAGGACACTGACCTGAAGACTAGAGGCTGAATGCCCTTGACCGCTGTAGTGTTCCCCAACTGGGAGGGAACATCCCCGTCTGGCGATTGTCGCGCGGCGTCCGTTCATCCATTGTCGTAGCGTCTGCATGGTCTCACCAATATACCATGCCTCGGGGCATCCTTATCTGCAGCACATGAAGTAGACAACATTGGTGAGTCAGATGAGTACCTGCCGTGTACGTGGTTGGGGGTTGCTCCCATGTGTGGTGGTAGTATCCATGATCCATGGCAGGTTTGTGTGGTGTAGTGGTTGATGTTGTCCTGAAGGCTGGGTAGTTTGCTGCGAACAATTGTTTGAAGTTAGGCAGCTGTTTGAAGGCAAGAAGTGGAGACATAGGGATGGCCTTGGCGAGATGTTTGCCATCATTGGTGACGTTTTAAAGGCTGCAAAGAACGTGGTGCAGTTTCTACACGCTGGGAAATATTGGACAACGAATTGCTTCCCAGAACACCTACATTCAGTGTCTGCAAAAAGACCCTGAGCTTCCAGTTGCCTGCCACTTCAACACGTCGCTGTGTTCCCTGGCCATCATCTTTGTCTCCGGATTGCTGCAGTGCTCCAGTGAAGCTCAGTGCAAGCTGGAAGAACAGCACTTCATTTTCTGATTGGGTACCCTGCAGCCTTCTGGACTCAATATCTGTAGTGCTTGAGCTCTCCCATAGCCTTCTCCCATACCCCACACATCAGATCTTGTTAACACACAGTCCGTTATTACACACAACCCATTGTTAGCCACTAACAGTCCCGGACATCCCAGAAAGATGAGGCACCCAGATGTCCTCATTTTTCAAGAACCGCAATTTTCCTCTCCCACAGTGGTCGAAAACGCCCTCGACTACATTTCTTATGTTTCCCGCGCCTCAGCCCTCACACTCCCTCCCCGCAATAAAAACAAAGACAGAACTTCCCTTGTCCTCACGTATCACCCCATTAACTTCCGGATTCAACGCATCATTCTCCGCCACTTCTGCCACCTGCAATCTGACCCCTACAAAGGAAGTATTTCCCTCCCCACCCTATCTGCCTTCCGGAGAGACCGCTCTTTCCGCGACACCGTCCGCTCCACACTCCCCACTAGCCCACCACCCCGGCACCTTTCCCTGCAACCGCAGGAGGTGTTACATCTGCCCCTACACCTCCCCCCCTGCTCCCCCCCCCCCGCCCCCGCCTCACCTCCATCCCAGGCCCCAAAAAAACCTTCCACATTAAACAGATGTTCACCTGCACATCTGCTAATGTGGTCTGTTGTGTCCACTGTTCCTGATGTGGCCTCCTCCTCATCAGGGAGACTAAGCGGAGGCTTGGAGACCTCTTTGTGGAACACCTACGCTCGGTTTGCGACAAACGACAACACCTCCCAGTCGCGAACCACTTCAACTCCCACTCCCTGGATGACATGTCTCTCCTGGGCCGCCTCCAGTGTCACAACGATGCCACCGAGAAACTGGAGGAACAGCACCTCATATTCTGCCTTGGAACCCTACAACCCAATGGTCTCAATGTGGACTTTACTAGCTTCAAAATCTCCCCACCCCCGGCCTCATCCCAAGACCAGCCCTCCCTCTCATCCCCGCCTCATTGACCTGTCCGTCTTCTCTCCCACCTAGCTGCTCCACTATCCACTTTATATCACCGCCTCCCCTCCTGTCTCTTTATTTCAGAGCCCCCTTCCCCTCCCCCATTTCTGAAGAAGGGTCCAGACCCGAAACGTCAGCTTTCCTGCTCCTCTGATGCTGCTTGGCCTGCTGTGTTCATCCAGCTCCACATCTTGTTACCCCAGACTCCAGCATCAGTAGTTCCTACTATCTCCCATTAATAGCTATTCACCCTCCTAGCCAGATCATTACCCACTTCTTTGTCTGTCTGTCCAACTGTTCTTCCATCTCTTTGGGCTCTATCCCTACCTATTGTGTACTCCTTACCCCCCTCCCTCTATCCTCTGCAAATAAACTGACATATTCCTAACTACGATCAGTTCTGAGGAAGAGTCACTAGACCAGAAGCGTTAACTCTATTTCTCTCCATAGATCCTGCCAGACCTGCTGAGCTTTTCCAGCAATTTCTGTTTTCGTTTGATTTACAGCATCTGCAGTTTTTTCATTTTTTCCATTATAATTTCGACTACTGACAGACTTTCCTGGGTATCTGGATGGCAGCTTCTGGGCATTGGGTGCCGGGAACAGTGATGTCCTCTACTGGAGAATAGCACCTCTGAGTGGGGCTGCAACTGTATCTCTACGACCAACAAAATTGAAGAATCCTAACTTGAACGCACACATCCCAATTTTGAACACCAAGTGGCAGAGTTTTGAATGAGTTAACAACTTGTATCAGGAAGCAGTATTAAAATATTTAAGTCAATGAGCTGGATTAAGATGAAATTTGAGGGAGACAAAATATTGTTGGAGATTTAGAATAACACTGAGAAGGAATGAGCCTCCACAAGTGTAGAAGTTAATTTTCAAGTGCCAGCAAGGTTTTGAGTAATGTAGACCTGCCACTCTATTAGTTTTAACACTTGAATGGGCAGGACCCGGCATTTTCTGTCATTGGTAAGTATTGCAAATTCATGCCCTTGCACGTATCTCAATACTAAGTCAATCGGCACGATACAAGCATGCTGAAGTTTGTGAAGGAGTACAGCAAATTGGACAACTTCCTGATTTTTGTGTTTAACTGCACATGTCTGATGATAAAGGTTGCTGCCCAGTTTACATAGCAAATCGTAACAGCTTGCTATTAGGGTAGTAGAAGTTGAGATGATTGATAATTTCAAACAGAGATTGGCTGGGCATTTGAAAGAAATTAACTTGCAGGGCAATGGGGACCTAAAAATACTAGGGTGACTGTGGGGCTTGTGAAACTGACAAGCTAAAAGAAACTGGTAATAGTAAGGAGGTAATACATGAAAGGTTAACTGGACCAGATGAAGGCATTGACTAAAGGGAGATTGGATGCACTGTGGTAATCTTTCAAAATTCTATGTATTCTGGAAAGTAGCAAATGCAAGCCCACTATTTAAAAAGGGAGGGAGAATGAAGATTACAGACACATTGGTTTGATGTCAGTGGTAGGGAAAATGTTAGGCTAGTATCACATCATCTATTCTAAGTGAATGGACTAAAACATAGCAGATGGGATATAATGTGAATAAATGTGAATTTATACATCTTGGGGGAAAAAGCAGTAAGGCAGTATATTTCTTAAATGGTGAGGGGTTGTGAAGTACAAGTGTCCTTGTTCATGCCTCACTAGAAGTTGGCATGCAGGTCAGCAAGCATTTAGAAAGGCAGATGGTATTCTGGCAGTCATTGTAAGGAGATTTGAATACAGCTCCTCCAGTTCCGTAGAGCCTTGGTGTGATCTCACCTGGAGCAATGTGTACGGTTTTAGTTCCCTTGTCTAAAGAGGGATATAATGATCACCGGGTGAAGTGCAGTGAAGGTTCACCAAATTAATCCTGGGCTGGCAGAACTGATGAAAGATTGAGGAGACTGTGTCTCTATTCTGTCGAGTTTTGAAGAATGATCTCAATAAAACACCAAATTCTAACGGTATGATGTGATTGATGCAGGTAAGAGGCTACCCTGGCTGCTGAGGCTAAAACCACAGAACATAATCTTAGGATAAAGGATAGACGATGTAAGACCAAGATAGGAGGAATATTTTCACTCAAAGAATGATAAATCTCTGGAATTCTTTATCGCATTGAGCAGATTCAAGATAGAAATCAATAGATTCCTGGAAGATAATGGCATAAGGAGATAGTGCAGCTTTTCTGCACTGAGGCAGATCAACAACAATCTAATTGAATGGTGAAGAAAACCGGACGGGCTGAATCACCTCTCCCTATGTTCCGTGTGATGGAATGAGATTGACTGGTTGCTGTATGGAGAACTAGCTTGGGTCTGAGTGTCAAATGCCATCCTGCATCATAATATTCATTTACTCTGTAGTAATTATTCATGCTGATAGCTACACCACTAATTTTAATGTAGAATTCAAGCCATTAAGAGGAGCAGGGAATTTCTGCAATAGCCCGAACAATAGTTATTCATTATCAACATTACTAAAACAGATTATGGTCATTATTGCAAAGCTGACTGTGGGACCTTGCTGTGTGCAAATTGGTTGCTGACTTTCCTCATCACAATAGTAATTACACTTCTAAAATAAAAGCTAATTGAGAAAGTGCTTTGCAAATTCCTGAGGGAGATGGACGGAGCTATATGAATACAAATTTGTCTTTTTTTTTCAGTGATGCAAAGAACATGGCAAGGGATGTCCAAAATATGTTCTACAGCATTGTCGCTGAACTGGGAGAAATGACACATGAGCAGGCTGTTGATTATGTGAAGAAACTGATGACAAAAGGCCGTTATTCTTCTGACGTCTGGAGTTAAACTGGAAGTGGGGGTAGTAAGCTTCCAGTGATGTATTATGCACCTATCTGCTCATTGATGGGTGAATTAATTATCAGCAATTCCCAGCTAATGACCTCCACTAGTCAATGCAAGAGATTTGTAGAGTTAAACAACGAGGCAATGATTCTTTTTATATGGAAAAAAAAATCCAAAAATGTCCTTTAACTGTTTGTGGGAAATAACTTTGCTTTATTTTAAATACTCTACCCCAGAATTGATACTAAAATTTTACTTTAGAAACTTTCCATTGCTGCCTTTTTAAATCCCAATAACCTTTTCCAGAAGAATCCTTTACGATAGCAGTTGCCTAAAAGGTCAGTTGTAGCACACCAAATCGCTGAACTTTTACCCAGCACCTATTATTTATCTTTGTAACTTTTTAAACATCAACTATATTTCAGGAAAATTTTGGGTTGGAACTTTGAGAACAACACCATCTTTTATATGGAACAATTTTGTGACCGGAACAATTTTGTGACCTGATCAATTTTTTTTTTGGTGGAACTCGCAATTGCTGCCTTGACATCTTTTTGATTCACAAAGCCTCAATTTTTGAGAGGAAAGCGGGGTGGGTGAATGCTGGGTGAGTGGTGTGGGTGAAGGTGTTGGGAATGCATTGAACTCTGAGCCTTCTGCATTCATTGAGTTCAAAATGCATGCAACTTAATAGTCTGCAAAACTTTTTAACACTTAGTTAAAAAAAAAGTCCTGTACCTGTAAGATGTTAAAATACACTGTACTTTGCTCTAGTGATTTTATATCTAACTTACAGACAGGGATGTAAAATTGTTGCCTCTGATGAACCGTTCACTGTTGAGTCTTCTCTGTGACTTGATAAGAATTTGGAATTTTGTCATCTTGGCTTAACGTTTTATGAAGCAAGGGTTTGTAAATTAAACAGTAGCAAAGTCTGAAATTTAAACTGGAGCCCCTGTATCTGGGAATGTACTTATAGTCACCTTTTGGCACAGATTGGCTGTTATGAATCTCTAAATATTAGACTGCACTGTCAGCTTGACATGTTGCAGAGTGAATAAAAAGGGGATTGTGAGGCTGCATCATTTTATTAACAGAAGTTTGCATTTAGCATCATAGCAGTGAAACAGAGACCCCTCTGACTTTGTTTTCACCTCTCCATCTCCTCACGTTACAGAAAATAAAATTGTTGGCAAACCACAGCTACATCTCAAATTTTGTGTTTTGGTAAAGTTCTACATCTTTAATCGGCCAAAGCTGCTGCCAGATCAGCATGTTTTCAAAATACATTTTATTGTTATATTGTTGCTCATACCAGGTACATAATGGAACATTGGTGAGCGTATCAAGAAAGACAGTGACTGTAAAAGTTTTCATTGCACTGTGGTCTTTTTAGACAGTTTGTTTTTAACAATTGCAGCCCAAAGCAAACTGATGATGAAAATGTCCCATTTTAACATCACCTTTTCCCCTTGTTATCAGCAGTGGAGGGACAGATAGGTGACCTGCCATTGAACCTCTACAAGTATCATTTGTGAACCAATCATTGGGATATCTGAGACATTGATAGAAATAACTGTTTTTCTCTTTGCTCTCTCATTGAAAAGTGTCTCACCATTGCTCAGCCCTTCCACTGAGTCTGAATTTGCATTAATATATTACACATTGTCCTGGTGGCCAAAGTAGTGAGGAGGTGACCTTCAAAAACCCTTGTAGTCTCATCTTTTAGTTTTATGCATAAACCCCTACCCCAATAAGATCTCATTAGGTCCAAAAGGAAATAAATCCTCGAGTGACCGATTTTGGAGCCTTTTAAAGCTACGAATGATGTTAATTTAACCTGAAAGTGTAACTGATATTTCAGGCAGCAGATGAAATCACTGGGAAATGAAAGTTCTGAAGATATCTAGAGACTGAAATGGTAATTGTCAGTCTTTGTTCCTGTAATTCACATAGCAATGACTCAGAATCACTGTATAACTGATCAAATAGGGATTTTACAACAAAATTATGACGTCTGTCATCACAGAAGGAAGCACTTTCAATGTTTTAGGATCAGTGGAGTTGCATTTGCAATTTGCCAATGTAACCGTGTCCCCTCAGTCAGTGATATTTTCCCCTGAATTTCTTTCTGCTATGCATGGCCAGAATGTTGCATTACACAGTCCCTTTTAGAGTTGATGCACAGCGACACCCATCTTAAAGGGATTGTTGTTTCCGTGTAGCCTGTCTGCACCCTGCACAGCATATTTCTGATTCTTGTGTGGCTGGTTAACCTAGTTGGGAATATTGATTAGCTTTTAACTTCTAAATTTCCCCCATTTTGTTCCAGCTGAGCACCTTATCATTCCCTGCTAGCCTGCATTTAAAAAAGGTAAATCACTACATGCAGACTTAAGTCATTGCTTAGTGACTAAGAGGATTCATGCTGCTTTTGTAGGGGGTTTTGTTTTTTCGTTCATGGGATGTGGGTGTCGCTGGCCAGACCAGCATTTATCTCCCAAACCTAATTGCTCAGAGGGCAGTTAAGAGTCGGCCATGTTGCTGTGGGTCTGGAGTCGTATGTAGGCCAGACCAGGTAAGGATGGCAGATTTCCTTCCCTAAAGGATATCAGTGAACCAGTTGGATTTGGATTAAACAGCAAGTATTTGTCTTGCAATAAAATTTGGCATTGTCATGTGATTTGCATTAATGATCTTTTTAAAAAGCTGTTTAGATGGCCTTTCTATGCGCAGAGTAGCAGGATCTTACTCTGCACTGTACTAGCAATTCATTAGATGTCTGGAAATACATTCAGATTCTGCCTGACCTGCTGAGAGAGGAATGTTTTGAATTTAATAGCTATTTAGATATAAAATGGTCAATAGAAGGTTATCTGTTTGTAAAAAGAAATGGCAAGGGGAAGTGCAATTTTTTAACCTGTGGCTTTTGCCTATTTACAAGCAACACCTACTAAACGTTAAAGTTTTATTTTGAAAGGAGAAAAGGATCAACTTTTTCAAAAACACAAGTAGTAGTGGATGTAGTCACTCTCTGACCAGTTTCAATGTGGGCGTGGCAACTGAACAGGCCCAGAAATAAAAATGGCAGCCAAGTTCTGAGGAGATGGTAGTTTCATGGACCATATTCAGTTTAAGCAAATTGAATTTGCAAAGAGAGCAGATTTCATCGTTGTTTAAAGTAGCTGGGTGTAGCTGGCATGACATTGTAAGAGCAGAAGTCTGTCTTTTTACATAACAGACCAGTCCAGGTGAAGTTATCCTGCCTGCACTTTGAAGGGACTGTGCGTCTTAGTGACTAGTAAGAGTTGAAAGGAATGTAGAAAGATGCATTAGGGACTGGAAATCAGCAGCAGACCCAGGATAATTAGTGACAAGATTTTATCCTATTTAAAAGCTCTTTAAAGTCAAATTAGTATCCTTTTTACAAAAGGACCAAAAGCCAAGTTATTGAAACTTTTAAGCATATGGATGTATCAGGAGAAGTAAATCCACTTGATCTGGGCAAGTTAGCAGGGAAATATCTCCAGACAGTTGGAGAGAAAGTTGGGAAATTGCCTCCTGCCAGTGAAAAGGTTTGTCCAAGTACAGGATGGGGCAAGCCTGTCATACTTTAAAAATGATCAACAGGAAGTCTTTCATCTCGACTGTAAAACAAACTGTGGGATATAGCAGGAATGCAATGCATTCAGAAGCCCTGTGACCTTAATTGCATAGCCTCTTCATTACTCACTGAGGTGCAGGTTGTAGATAACCTACTCATCTTAAGTTGAATATAGATACATTCATATATTTGTTAAACTTTTGTATTTGAGTTGGTTAGATTTATTCCTCTGCCTTAATTGAAAAATGTGAATTGTAACAACCCAGTGAATATTCATTACTAGAGTATCAGAGTTTACAACATCTGTTTAAATTAGACCAGTCCCAAACTAAACCAAAACCAGGAGGGCCTGCCAGTCCATACACTCGATGGATTGTCAAACTTGGGCTATATGCACCCTGCAGTTCAACCCTGGTGCTTCTGTGTGTGCTTCTGTGTTAGTTTTAGTTTTGTACATCCAATGATTAGGAAAGGACTGCTTTTCAAACCATTGCTATTGAATCAGCACCCAAGATATTGATAAATAAACGAGAGCTGAGATATAAACTTTATGTAACAGCCATGAGGGTAGTGAAAAGCTGAAGGAAGGGCATCCCCGACCTTTCACCATCTAGATTAAAGGAGAGTTGGTACAACAGCTGCCAGCCTGACTAGCTGTACTTGGTATTGCAACAAAAACAAATCACACTGAAAAATAATGAGAGTTTACTGAGGCTGTAAGTTCTTTACCTCCTTTAAATTGGATGCACATCACTTCATACACTGCCTTGCTATTAAGCAAATGCCAGGTATGCTGCTGTCGCTGACTGATTCACTCTGTATTCCCCATGAAAAGGCCATGGCTAGTTGCTCAGTTGATGTATTTTCTGCAATGCAGTGCAATATATACCGTATATTTAAAGGTACCAATTGGATTGACAGGGTGAGTGTGCCTGATGCATGTGATGTAACTGTTCCTTCTGCTAATTGAAAGTCATATTACTAACTGAAAGGTCTGGGGAATCTGCACAAGGCCAGGCTGCTTCCTAATTTCTACTTTCTTAAAAGCGTTCAGTTGTGAATGCTATATGGCTGTTAAGTGTGCTGCCATTTGGAAGATGTATATATGTCAAATGCACTGTTGTCTCAGTAGTTCTATAGGTAATGTGAAATTCTCAATTACATTAATTTTTCTATAGGAAGGTTCTAATTCATGTAATAATCACCAGGAGTTTTTAATGAAGGTAAATTGCAATGTGATACAAAGCAAGGGAACATTTGGCTTGAGATTATACAGGTGAGCCCATCTCAAATTTTCTGATCTGTTGCAGGGAATACTTCGTGCTCTCTCTCTGTTTCCCTGATTTCAGTTTTCACTTGTCTTGTTCTGAATAGCCTAACAGTATCTTGTTCAATGTCTGTACATCTATCATGTAATTTGTCTCTGAAAACATTAAAAGAATTACAGAAATCCAGACTTTATTCTTGTCCATCTTGGAATCGGATGCTGCGGTGTGCCATTGTGCATCTGTGGGTGTCTTGTTAGGACAGTAATGTACTTGTAATGCTGACTACACTATACAACCCCGGGCCGTCGGTAGGGAAACACCAGATGGCTTTGGGAACTATAACAGAGCAAGTTGGTGTTTACAGAATAATTTTAAAAAACCCAATATTGCATAGTATGGGTGAGCTGACCTTCAGAATGCATCCTGCTCAGGACTATGTAGGAGCGGAAGTAGGCCATTCAGCCCATCAAGTCTTCTCTGGCATTCAGTGAAATCACGGCTGATCTGTTGATCTTCCACTCCACTTTCTTGCCTTATCTCTGTAACGCTTGATTACTGATTAAAAATCTATCTCAGCCTGAAGTATCCTTAACAACCTAGCCTCTTGCCCTCTGCAGTGAAGAATTCCAGAAATTCACTACCCTTGGAAGAAAAATTCCTTCTCTCAACCTTAAATGGGCTACCCCTTACTTTAGAGATTGTGCCTTTGTTCCTAGACTATCACAAGGGAAAAATAATGTCTCTGTATCTACCTCGTCAAGCCGCTTAAGAATCTCTTACTCAGCCTCTCCCCTCACCTGAAGCACGGTAAACCTCAGGTTAAACCATCACCAGTCATCGCTTTCTGAGAGAGCAGCCCTGTGGTCTGGTAAGATAGTGGTGACTTTATCTTTTAATGTATGGCACCCTGTCAACATCTTCTGAAATATCTCCACGGCTTCCCTTTATCTAGACTGCTTGTTACCTCCTCAAAGAATTCAGGAACGTTTTCTCAGGCATGATTTTCCTTTCCTGAGCCATTCTGATTCTGCTTAATCATGTGTTTCTAAATGCTCTGCTATTACACCCTTTATTACAGTCTGATGTTTTCCCAATAACAGACATTAAGCTAACTGTTTTGCTTTTTCTCGCCCTTCTTGAATACAGGTTATACATTGGCAATTTTCCAATCCTCTAGGTTTTTTCCATAATCAAAGGATTCTTTGAAGTTTACCATCAGTGTGTCCACTATCTCTGTAGCTACTTCATTTAAAATCCTATGATGCAACCCATCAAGTCCAGGGCACTTTTATCCCTTTTAGTCCCATTAGTTTCCCTAGTACTTTTTTCTCTGAGATAGTAAGTGTTTATTTCCTCCCTCTTTTACCTCCTGGATTATGTACTATTTTTGGAATGCTATTAGTGTCCTCTACTGTGAAGAATGATGTAAAGTATCAACTCTTCTGCCATTTCCCAATTCCCCATTATCACTCTCCCCAACCTCATTCTCTAAATGGGGTTATGTTCACTATGGCTTCGCTGTTCCCATAAATATATAAAGAAGCTGTTACTGTCTCTCATGTTACTTGATAATTTATCCATATACTTTATTTTCTCCTTTTTCTTTGTCTTCATCTTTTTACTGGTTTTTAAAACTTTCCCAATCCTCTGATTTATCATGAATATTTGCTACATTATTTCTTTTCTTTCAATTTAACATTCTTGGTTAAAATGATTGATTTATCCCCTTCCTAGAATCCTCCATTTGCAGTGGGATATATCTTTGTGCATCCTGAACTACTGTTTATGTGTATGTCATTATGCCTGAACTGTCTTTTCTGCTAAATATCCCAGTCCAGTATAATCTTGTATTAATATGGAACATACTTAGTAATGTACAGCACAGAAATAGACCCTTTGGTCAAACTTGTCCATGCCGAACAAATATCTTAAATTCATCTAGTCACACTTGCCAACATTTGGCTTGTGTCCCTCTAAACCTTTCCAATTCACGGCCTATCCAGATGCCTTTTAAATGTTGTAATGGTACCAGGCTCCTCCACTTTCTCTGGCAGCTCATTCCATACATGCACGACCCTCTGCATGAAAAAGTTGCACCTCAGGTCCCTTTTAAATATTTCCCCTCTCACCTTCAACCTATGCCATCTAGTTTTGGACACCCCAATCCTGGGGAAAAGACCTTGTCTATTCACCCTATCCATCCCCCTCATGATTTTATAAACCTCTATAAGGTCACTCCTCAGCCTCTGACGCTCCAGAGAAAATAGTGTTAGTGCCAAACAGACTAGTCTCAGACTAGTCATGCAACAGCCTGTCACAGTCGTACTCACAGAATCATACCTTACAGACAATGTCCCAGGCACCACCATCTCCATCCCTGGATGTGTCCTGTCCCACTGACAGGACAGACCCAGCAGAGGGGGCGGCGCAGTGGTATACAGTCAGGAGGGTGTTGCTCTCGGAGTCTTCAACATTGACTCCAGACCCCCTGAAGTCTCATGGCTTCAGGTTAAACGTGGCCAAGGAAACCTGTTGATTACCACATACCATGGGAAACACTGAGGATGGCAAGGGCACAAAATATACTCTGGGTGGGGGATTTCAATGTCCATCACCAAGAGTGGCTTGGCAGCAGTACTACAGATCGAGCAGGTGGGGTCCTAAAGGATATAGCTGCTAGACTGGGTCTGCAGCACGTGGTGAGGGAACCAACAGGAGGGAAAAACATACTTGACCTCACCCTTACCAATCTGCCAGCTATAGTTACATCTGTCCATGACAGTATCGGTAAGAGTGACCATCGCACAGTCCTTGTGGAGACTAAGTCCCATCGTGTTGTGTGGCACGATCACTGTGCTGAATAGGACAGACTTCGCACAGATCTAGCAACTCAAGACTGGGCATCCATGAGGCACTGTGGGCTATCAGCAGCAGCAGAATTGTGCTCCAGCAAAATCTGTAACCTCATGGCCCAACATATCCCCCACTCAACCATTACCATCAAGCCAGGGGATCAACCCTGGTTCAATGGAGAGTTCAGGAGGGCATGCCAGGAGCAGCACCAGGCATACCTGAAGATGAAGTGGTGAAGCCACCAAACAGCGAAAGCAGCAAGTGATAGACAGAGCTAAGCGATCCCACATCTAACAGATCAGATCTAAGCTCTGCAGTCCTGTCACATCCACTTGTGAACGGTGGACAATTAAACAACTCACTGGAGGAGGAGGCTCCACAAATATTCCCACCCTCAATGACGGAAGAGCCCAGCACATCAGTGTAAAAGAGAAGGCTGAAGCATTCGCAGCAATCTTCAGCCAGAGGTGCCGAGTGGACGATCCACCTCGACTTCCTCCAGTGGTCCCCAGCATTACAGATACCAGTCTTCAGCCAATTCGATTCACTCCACGTGATATCAAGAAACGGTTGGAGACACTAGATACTTCAAAGGCTACGGGCCCTGACAACATTCCAGCAATAGTACTGAAGACTTGTGCTCAGAACTTGCCGCTCCCCTAGCCAAGCTGTTCCAGTACAGTTACAACACTGGTATCTACCCGGCACTGTGGAAAATTTCCCGGGTATGTTCTGTACTTAAAAAGCCGGACAAATCCTAACTGGCCAATTACCCCATCAGTCTACTCTCAATCACCAGTAAAGTGATGGAAGCTGTCATCAACAGTGCTATCAAGCAGCACCTGCTCAGTGACGCCCAGTTTGGGTTCCGCCAGAGCCACTCAGCTCCTGACCTCATTACAGCCTTGGTTCAAACATGGACAAAAGAGCTGAATTCCAGAGGTGAGGCTTTCGACCGAGTGTAATATCAAGGAGCCCTAGCAAAACTGGAAACAATGGGTATCGGAGGCAAACTCTCCAGTGGTTGAAGTCATACCTGACACACGGGAAGATGTTCGTGTTTGTGGGAGATCAATCGTCTCAGCTCCAGGACATCTCTGCAAGAGTACCTCAGGGTAGTGTCTTAGGCCCAACCATCTTCAGCTGCTTCATTAATGACCTTCCCTCCCTCAGAAGGCCAGAAGTGGGGATATTTGTCAATGATTGCACAATGTTCAGCACCATTCATGACTCCTCAGATACTGAAGCAGTCCATGTTCACATGCAACAAGATCTGGACAATATCCAGGCTTGGGCTGACAAGTGGCAAGTGACATTGGCGCCACATAAATGCCAGGCTATGACCATTAACAGTAAGCGACAGTCTAACCACTGCCCCTTGACCTTCAATGGTGTTACCATCACTGAATCCCCCACTATCAACATCCTGGGGGTTATCATTGACCAGAAACTCAACTGGGCTCACCACATAAACACAGTGGCTACAAGAGCAGGCCAGAAGCTAGGAATACTGCGGTGAGTAACTCACCTCCTGACTCCCCAAAGCCTGTCCACCATCTACAAGGCACAAGTCAGGTGTGTGATGGAATGCTCCCCACTTGCCTGGGTAAGTGCAGCCCCAACAACACTCAAGAAGCTTGACACCATCCAGGAGAAGGCAGCCCATTTGATTGGCACCACATCCACAAGCATCCACTCCCTCCACCACCGATGCTCAGTTGCAGCAGTCTGTACTATCTACAAGATGCACTGCAGAAATTCACCAAAGATCCTCCCAAACCCATGACCACTTCCATGTAGCAGGACAAGGGCAGCAGATATATGGGAACACCACCACCTCCAAATTCCCTTCCAAGCCACTCACCATCCTGACTTGGAAATATATCGCCGTTCCCTCACTGTCGCTGGGTCAAAATCCTGGAATTCCCTCCCTAAGGACATTGTGGGTCAACCTACAGCAGGTGGACTGCAGCAGTTCAAGGAGGCAGCTCACCCCCACCTTCTCAAGGGTAACTAGGGACGGGCAATAAATGCTGGCCAGCCAGCAACACCGACATTCCACAAATGAATAGAATAAAAAAAGTACAACGGTCTGTGCCTTTGGCATTAACCAGTAGCAAAGCAGATCAAAGGTTAGTGCTTTGCGCAACTATTCCTATAAGTTACTGAATAAAAAACTGCTAGTTACTGAAAATACAAGAAAGTAATGAAATACGAGATTAAAGTAAAATCAGTCTGTAATCATTGGAAAGAGAAATGAAAGTAACAAGCTTGCAAAGTGAAGACAGTTAAAAGCTTGAAGTCAAAATTCAACAGCTGTGATGGTTTTGTAATCAAATCATTGAACGGTTTCAAGAAGGAGTTAGCTAAAGGGTGTGGGGAGAAAGTGGGTACTGAGTTAGATGATCAGGTTGAATGGCAAGGCAAGCTTGAAGGGCTGAGTGGCCTACTCCTGCTCCTATTTTCTGTGCTTCCATGAAACTCGTTATCAGGAGAGACTAAAATGACCAATGTATTCAAGGGGAAACAATAATCATGTGATTGAGAACGGATCATATGAATACAGTGATCAGGTCAGAGTGGGAGCAGACTCACATGGAGAACACACACTAGAACGTACCTGTTGGGCTGAACTGTTTATTGCTCTATATTCCAGTCATTTGTGAATTTGTGGAAACACGTTTCAGACCACAGAGCTGCACAAGATTACATAGACAGAGGGCTCTGACATTGCACAGCGTACCCAGGAGCAGTTTCAGCAACATTCCTGGTTAGGAAGAAGATACTGCCCTAGACATCAGATCCATCACCCACTGGTCAGTCACCTGCAAATGGCCAGCTCTCCAGTGCCAGTGGAAACGGTGCCAGTTCAGGCAGGCAGTCTGGAGGTTCACTCTGTGGTGCCTCAGAGTCTCCCATGAGAGTCCCTTCTCTGCTTCCTCCACATCACCATCAGTTTGATGACCATCCAGGTCATTGCTGGGATCAGTTGTGTGGCTACCAGCATCTCAGTGTCAGCTACATCAGGGGGCAGGGAGACCAGGGGCACCCTCCTCCAACAGGACAGGGGGAGGCGGGGCGGCAGTGAGGAGAGAGCTGGGCCAGTGCAGGCACAGAGGGAGTTGGGCGTTTGCCTCTTTCGATGGTTTCCCTAAGGTCCAGAGGGTCATTGTGAGACACTGACCGAGCAGTCAGTCAGATTTCTGATCAGGAAGGGTTTTCCCTCAGTAAGGTGCGACTGGACCATGAGTGGAGGAATGGGATCTCGTTGGTCTGGACTTGGTTCTGGGACAGACATCACGATGCCTTCAGCCTTTGAGAATATCAGGAGCCAGAAACCTTCAGGCCTATATCAGGCTGTGTAGGAGGCTCCTGTGGGAGAAGCGTTATCTCCCCTAAGGAAGTGGTTCTTGTTGCTTGTACAGTACCCAGATATGGATAGAAATGCTATAAATCAAAGCTACTGACTAACATCGACCTGCAATAAACATGCCGTCAGCACCTTGAAGATATGCTTGCTTTGCCTTGGCCAATTGTGTGGTTCCCTACAGGGTGTATCAGCCAGAGGGAGGGGGCATCTCACCAATGTGCTGCTCAAACATCTCCCCCAGCCATAACCTTCACCTCACTTTCTGAGCAAGCTTCAAACACACAGGAGTCTCTGTGCCGTCATGACGATCTTCCATTCTAACTGAACCATCAACAGAGACAAATCCACTCAGATGGCCCATTATCTGCTCTCAATGATGTGGCATCTTGTGCTCACGCCCGCTCCTGCATGATTCTCCCCCTCTACCTGAGGGTTAGCTCTACCCCCAGTGTGGCCAGGGGCCTTGTCTGCAGGCTGTGGGCCTGGCCCATTGCAAGGACAGCCTTTGCCACTTGACTGTTTACCATTAACTCCTCCACTGACTGCCCCTGTCTGCAGAATATGCTGGGACTCTCCCAGGCCCAGGAATCCCATCGAGAGTGTTGCTTGGGACCCCTAATCTTCACCCAGTGAACCACCGCTGTCGTCAGTCCTTAGCGTACCCACTCTCCTCCCGACGCTGCCCCACTTGCCCCTCCTGCTGCCCCCAGTACCAGGTTGCCTCCAATGCCCTTTCCTAGGGAGTCGAGTTATAAAATGCCCACGCTTGTCACTGCTCCCAGTCTCACCATGTCCAACAACCTGGCACAACTGCACCCCTCCAACATCCTAGTGCTGCCTTTTCCAGAGGGCATGGGTCGTAAATGGTCAGAGCCATTGCCCAGATGTTGTGAGGCAGAGGAATGATGTACAAGTAAGCTGCCCTCCCTCACCTATTCTGCACTGACTCGGTTCGGAGATATCATACTCTTCGACTGTTGCCCCTGAAAAGTGGGGGTGGGGTGACTGATGTCTCAGTGATGCAGCTGTACACTCAGTGCTCAGTTTATAGGCCTGCTGCTACACTGAGGCCTGTCAGTCCGGTATTCGTTACCATTCACCTTCCCAACTCCCAGCAGAGACTGAATCTCTAGTACCTCTGGCCCGCTATGTCTTTGATTGACCACTCCATGGCCAATCCACTGCCATCCAGGCCCGCTCTCCCGGCAGATGCCAAGAAGAGAATTTCCCGCCTCTCGTTGGCGGCTTCTGTCAATGGAACCCTTGGTGTTGCCCAGGGAGCACCAGCCCAACGTCAGCGTCACTCTTCTGTGACCAGCCCACTGCGCTACCCAATCTGGGATTGGGAAACTACATCCCTCTGTCTGAACTCAGCCACCGACCCAAAACGATAATGGCACGTCCCTCTCAACTGTCTGAGTTTCTGAGCTTTCCCAGCGCTTTCTGTTTCTAATTATCACAATTCTAATTCTCCCGTTACTGAAAAAGAAAAGCTGTGTTGATATTTATTATTTGAACATCTATACAGTGACATCCTCCCGTGACGTCCTACCTCTGGATCATTTTGCCCCAGCTGATGAGCAGTAGTAAGGGGCAGGAACATTACAGTGCGTCCGGGGTACTGTATCGAGCAGGTCTGTACAATTTTATTGGATGATTATTTTGAGCAGTGACAGATCTTGCTTTGACACACTCCCCACGCACACAGCTCACGTGTGGGCCCCAGTGTCCAGGGCAAAGGCCCAGCAGCAACAACGTGACATGCACTTTCTGCAATTCTTCAACGCAAAAACGATAATCAAGTCCAGTCTTCCGCTCTTTCTCACGTTTCACAATTGTTTATTGACATTTTTCTCCCTCTGTTTCTGTTTTTGGTAGATGACTCGAACAGTCGTCAGGAAATTTCCAAGGAACAAGACGAGAAATGCGAGACCACACATGGAAACCTACAACAAGGAGAGGGTCACAAGCAGTGAGTCAGGCCAAGACTCTGTGATCAAATCACACACTGACGCTGGCACAGGCACACAGGAGTCATACAAAGTTGCACACACTAGCAGGGAGGTGATGGCCTAGTGGTATTATCGTTGGACTGTTAATCCAGGGACCCAGGTTCAAATCCAGCCATGGCAGACAGAGGAATTTGAATTTAATTAAAAATCTGAACCATAAATCCATTATCGATTGATGGAAAATCCCGTCTGGTTCACTAATGTCCTTCAGGGAAGGCAATCTGCCATCCTTACCTGGTCTGGTCTCCATGTGGCTCCAGACCCACAGCAAAAAATGTGATTGACTCTTAACTGCCTTCTGGACAATAAATATTGCCGGGCCACTGACGCCCTCATCCCATGAATGAATTTTAAAAAAAACAGAAGATCAAAGCTTGGTCAATGAATAGCAGCGGGTTAGGTCACCGATATATTCGCGAAAAGACTCAACATCTGAGTATCTTGCTAGAGAACAAGATCTCCAAGGAAAGGAATTACCCTTTTCAAGACACTACAGCAAGTGGTCTTAATGAACAATACATGGGGACGCAGCTAAATGTATCCAACTATCCCTAATCTATTCCATTCTGAATGCACAGCTCTCTCCTCTATAATCAGCATTCACATCTTCTACACTGTTGGAGATTTCTTTCCCGTAGTTTAACCCCAGTACATTTGATAATGTATTTAAGAGTTTACAGGGTATGGCTCACACCGCAAGGTACCTTTCCCAGCAGACCCTACAGAAAGATTGTTTAACGTTTGAACCCCATGCTCACCTGCCATTCTTTACAGTCTGGGTGGTTGGTTAGTCTGAACAAGGTGATTGCATTATAAAACTGCCAGAACTGCAAAGGGGAAGAACAACATCGCGTTAACGAGCAGCATTCCCACGTTTGCCCACATGCCAACTTGTGACAATTGAGGTGGCACCACCAACAGTTAGACTGTGAAAGGTGGACACCAACATTCCCACCTGCGGACTCTGAGAGGAAGTGGAGATCTAGGCCAAGCATCGTATCGTGGGCCTGAATACGGCATTTGTCGTCTCTAACTTTCTCCCTTCTTTCCTACGGCCTCTCAAAGCTGTTGACTTTATTGGAGACATTACGACCAAGCCCAGCAGCCCCCTGCAAATGGCAATTCTCTGTCTGCAAGGCTAGGCCCTGGGAGTTAGTCAGGCCTGTGACAGTGAAATTGTTACATCTCACATTTTACCTCAGCACATGCTCCGGTCGCTGAGTACCTTCTGGAGTTTAGACAAAAGAGTCTAAATGAATCAAGTTCAATTGGAAGATTCTGAGGGTGGGGGCATTGTCAGAGCAGATGCTGAACGTATGTTCCTCCAGAACCATTTCAAAGTGAGGTCTCTCCCATCTAAGACGATGAGGAGGAAACTCTTCTCTCTGAGGTCTGTTAATCTTTGGAATTCTAAGAAAGGTTTGATTTACAAGGGAGTCCAGTCTTCTAAAGGATGACAGGCAGTAAATTGGAACTAAACCCAACATCAAATCAGCCATGAACTTACTGCATAGCAGAGTGGGATTGAGGGCCAAGTGGCATACTCATGCTCCTATTAATGTTTAATGTTTTGCTCTGGGGGTGGTAACTGTGGTCGATGTTTCCCGACCAAAGCCTGGGGCACTAAGGCCAATATTACTGCACTCAACCTGGCCGCCTGCTGAGGTCATGCAGGATCAATGGCAGCCAGGATCCAGTTGTGGGATCAATGGCAGCCAGGATCCA